GAAAAAAAGAAAAGGTATGAAAAATCCAAGAAAAAAAATAAAGAGGTTAAGAGTAAGAAAATATCAGCTTTATGCTTTGCCAAGACCCCTTAGTTGCCAGTGTTGGGGGGGAGGGACCCTGTAGATGGCCCAGGGGAGACCCTCAGCAGGAAGTGAGTGACCCAGAGGGCAGAGCACTCTGCTCCACCTTCCTCCAGCCACATCCGCTCCTTTCTGCCCCAACACCATGCTGGCCTTGCTCCTGAGCTAGGCTCTGCCCCAATCTGCTTCCCCTGCCACCCCAGGGCCAGCTTTCTATCTCCGAGGTCCCCCAGAAGTCTGTCCTCCATGAGGTCACTGTCCCCATCTGAGGTAAACCCAGATATTTCTGGCTTAGCATCTCAATCTGGGCACTGATTTCTGGGTGCATTTACACTGTGGAAATGAATCCACAACACTGTGGAAATCCTAAATGTGCTTTTGTGATTTGTGCACTTACCCATCAGTAACAATAAAAACGTAAAAGCCCTGGTGGTCCCTTCACAGCATTTACCCTGACCCTGTGCTTATTTCTCAGCTGTGCTGTTAGTCACATGGCCACGCTCCCACTGGTATAGAGGCTTCACGACAGCGGGGACACGTTTGTCACAGTGGCCACTGTGCCCCCAGCATCATTACAGTGTGTGGCACAGAGCAGGCACTTCAGAAATGCTTGGGCAAAGAATAGAGGACTGCCTGCCCGCCTGCCCACGGAGCGGAGCGATGCCCAGGCTGGGGGCGGGGCACCTCACCCATCTAGCGGCAGCCCGGCAGGGGGCGCCCGCACGCGGGCCTCACCTTCCTCTGCATTTTCTCCAGCAGCTTGCTCTTGGCCCGGACCTCCTCCTGGATGGAGTCGTAGACATTGAGCAGCACCCACTCCCCGCTGTCCTCGTCGGAGTTCTGCAGGGCGGCCACCAGCTGCTTCTTGCGTTCGTCCGCGTAGCGCTTCCGCCGCCGGTGCTTCTCCTTCAGGTCCTTGTTCTTGGCCTGCTCCCCACCCACCACCTGCTGCTCCAACAGCTGCAGACTGCCAGCGCCACCGAGGAGAAAGCGAAGTAACAATACCCACCCATCACTGAGCGCCAGCCACCCGGCAGCCCACCAGCTATGTGGGGTCGCACCAGATCTACCAACAACCCGCTCTGCAGGAAGGAAAGCCTGGCTCAGAAAGGGGACCCTCTCCTACCAGACCCAGCCAACCCCACGCCGGTGCACGCACCTGACCGTAAGGGTGGAAATCTTCCTGTGGGCCCAGCCCTGGGCCCTCCCCTCCCCTGCATGGACGGTCTGCGCTCTCAGGCACCAGCATAATCACAGTAACCCCGGGCGGCCTGAAAAACGCTCGGTACACTACGTGCACAGAGCTTAATCAGGCCGTAACATGCACCGTACATTTTAAAAAATATTTACAATCCCAAATGCTTAAAAATGTTTATAGAGTTTTGCCCTTTAAAAGTGCAAATTTTAGGCTTGGTGCCTGTGGCTCAAGTGGCTAAGGCGCCAGCCACATACACCTAAGGTGGCAGGTTCGAATCCAGCCCAGGCCCGCCAAACAACAATGATGGCTGCAACCGGAAAAAAAATAGCCAGGCGTTGTGGCGGGCGCCTGTGGTCCCAGCTACTTGGGAGGTGAAGGCAGGAGACTTGCTTGAGCCCAGGAGTTGGAGGTTGCTGTGAGCTATGCTAGGGCACTCTACCCAGGGGGACAGCTTGAGGCTCTGGCTCAAATAAATAAAAAAATAAATAAAAAGTGCAAATTTTAGTCCAGGCTTGGTGGCTCATGCCTCTAATCCTACTACTCTGGGAGGCTGAGGTGGTTGGATCGCCTGAGCTTAGAAGTTCCAGACCAGTATGAGCAAGAGTGAGACCTCCCCATCTTTAAAAAAAAAAAAAAGAAAATAATCAGGTTGTGGTGGGCACCTGTAGTCCCAGCTACCAGGGAGGCTGAGGCAAGAGAATCACTTTGACCCCAAGAATTTGAGGTTGCTCTGAGCTGTGACACCATGGCACTCTACCAGGGTAATAAAGTGAGACTGTCTCAAAAAAAAAAAGTGCAAATTTTAAATAAATACAGAGACAGGCTATGTGGAACTCCCTATTGCCTAATAAAGCCCCACAAAAATGTTTCAGACCCTGCCTCGTTCCAAAGTGAGGTGAGGAGGCACTGGAGAGAATCATTGAAGGAGAGGGGGGACCGGGCTCAAAGGAAAAAATGGGGCTTTGCAACCTGAGCAGCTGGGCTCTGGGAGCGCTGTGGCAGCCAGAGCAGAGGGACCCACGTCTAAGTCACTCCTCTGTGGGAAGTCTTTCTGCTGGTCCCCATGGGAAGAAGCCCGGGCACCCAGGAGGGCACAGAGGGTGCCCCCATCTCCCCCTGCACCCCAGCCACCCCAGTCACCCCCCCCCATCATTCTTAAACACCCAGACTGTGTCCCACCTGTGCCTCAGGGACACTGTGCTCTTTATCTAGAGCAGGGGTTCTCAACCTGTGGGTCTCCACCCACAGGAACTGTATTAAAGGGCCGCGGCAGCATTAGGAAGGTTGAGAACCACTGATCTAGAATGCTGCCCCAAGCATGTGTCCTGCCAAACGTACTCAGGGGCCCCTCTCCTGCGCAGCCTTCCCCACTTTCACTCCACACCAGGTTGGAAATAGCCATAACACCCGAGTGCTTTCTGGGCTGGCTGCCACCCCTCCAGGCATGACATTTGACCCTCCCCACCAGCTCCTCAAAATCACCCATTTTGTAGCTGAGGACAGAAAGCTTTAAAGTCTGCCTGTGGTGGCAGAGCTAGTGGAGGGGGGAGGAGGGGAACCCAGGTAGTCAGACTGCTCAGCCCATTTGCTTCCACCTGCTACAGGACATGGCCCTCCCCAGCCTGTGTGTCTGCCACCTGCCCAGGACTCTGGGCCCCCTGAAGGCCAAGGCCGAATCTCATACATCTTCACATCCCAGTGCCCAGCACTCAGTAGTTGCTCTGTTAAGGTCTAAACCACATGTGGCCTCTGGGCCTGGGCCTCCCACTGCTGGAAGGAGGCTGAATCTCCAGCTGACTGTCACAGAGGTAGGGCTGATGTTACCATCATTTACAGAAGTGGGACCCGAGGCTCAGAAAAGACTTGCACAAAGCCACACAGCGAATGAGGAAAGCCCAGCTCCCCAAGTGATCCTAGACGGTGGCCATGGGTGGCCTGTCCTAGTGTAAGTCTCACATCAGGGAGGGCACTGGAGGCCTGGGGTCTGGGGGCTTGGCTGGAGCTCAGGGAAGCCTGTGTCCCCCTGCGCTGGGATCCCTAAATCCCAAAGGCCAGGTGGGCCACAGGCCCTTCACAGTCTCCCTACAGCAGCTGCCCCTGGCAGGTGCCTGTCTGGAATCTGGAACAGCCTTTATAGCTTCCAGAACAGGCCCTGCCCAGCCAGCCCTAGCACATGCCAGCCCCCGCTGTGCTTGGAGGGAGCATCAGTACTAAGCTTGCCATGTTGGAGGGACAGCAGGAAGAAGCCATGGGCACCCCCCCCCAGTCCTGGGACACAGTTCCTTCCCGCCCTACTATGGGGTCTCCAGCCCCACACTCTGGTGCTTACCGGGCCAGCACCTGCTGCTGGTCCACAACAGGCAGCAGGTCTTCGGTCAGCACAGCCACCTCCACGCCCACACTCTCCTTCTTTGGGTCTGCCACAGCCAGCGGGGCCTGGGGCTGAGGCTGAGCCACCGAAGCCATCTGGGCCTCAGCCTCAGCTTCTGCGTCAGGCTCCGCAGCCAATGTCACCTCCAAAGCCCCTTCCGTGGCCTGATCAAGGTCCTGAGCACAAAGGGAAACCCAGATGGAGATGAGAACGCCACCATGAAGACAGTTCACACAGAGTTCTCCATTGCAGTCCGCCCACTGCATCCAGGACACTGCCACTATGGCACACCAGCATCCCCTATGGTCTTCTCACCTCTTCTCTTGCCCCCATGATCCTGTCTCCGCACACCAGGCAGGGCAGTCACCTTCAAATGCACACTGATCACTCCCCTTTTCTGACTAGAACCCTCTGTGGCTCCCCCATTGCATTTGCCAGAAAATCCAGTTTCCTTATGGCTGCTACGCCCTCCCTGCCTGCTCCCTGCCTCCCTGGCTGCCTCCTCTGTTGCTGACAAAGTCAAGATCTTTCTAGCCACAGGACCATGGCAGTTGCTGTGCACTCTACCTGCTGCTTTCCCCAGCCCTTCCTCCTTGCCTGGGTCCCACCTCAAGGTCACTTTCTAACCAGGGCTTCTCCAGCCATTCCATCTACCATCAACTGAGAACATGCTGTGTGCCCAGCTCCCAGCCAGTGCTCAAGTCCAGACTGTATTTTTTCTCCTTAAATGTGGGGAGATGTAAAACCTCCTCTCACTGCCCTGGGGCCTGCTGCCCTGTCTTACACAGAAGAGAAAGGTGGGATCCAAGAACAGGGGTATTCAATCTGGGTTCCACACCCCCGTAAGGGTTCCCTGCTTTGGGGCCACCAGCCCTGGCATGCAGCCCTCTGCCTCCCCACACACTGGTCCTCTATTCCTTTAGACAAAGGGCTCCAAGGCTGTGAAAGGTTTGAAATCACCACCTGGAACAACAAGCTTCTTATTCACATGGATAATAACAAGAGAGATAAGGGGCAACTCAGTTGGGAAAGAAGGAGTCAAATTATCCTTGTTTGCAGAAGATATGGTCTTATAGCTAAGGAAACCTGAAGACTCTACCAGAACACTGTTACAATTGATAATCAAATTCAATAAAGTTTTAGGTTTTGTGTATTGATACAAAATCAATATATAAAAATCAGTAGCATTTTCATATGCTAACAGTAAACAATCTGAAGAAGAAACCAAGAAAATAATTGCATAATAGCTACAAATGAAATAAAATGCCAAGGAATAATAAACTTAACCAAGGAAGTGAAAGATCTCTATAATGAAAACTGTAAAATACTGATGAAAGAAATTGAGGAGGACACCCCCAAATGAAAGAGATCCCATGTTCATGGATTGGAAGAATCAATATTGTTAAAATGTCCATACCACCCAAAGTAATCTGCAGATTCAGTGCAATCCCCATCAAAATACCAATGACGTTCTTCACAGAAATACAAAAAATAATCCTAAAATTTATATGGAACCACAAAAAACCCAGAATGGCCAAAGCCATCCTGAGCAAAAAGAACAAAAGGAGAGGAATCACATTACCTGACTTCAAACTAATTTCTTGAGTAATATCCCCAAAGCACAGGCAACCAGAGCAAAATTGGACGAGTGGGATCACATCAAGTATAAAATCTTCTGTACAACAAAGGAAACAATCAACAAAGTGAAAAGACAGCCCACAGAATGGGAGAAAATATTTGCAAACTACCCATCTGACATGTGGTTAGCAACTGAAATATCTAAGTAGGTCCAACAACTCAGTAGGAAAAAGATCAAATTGATTTTAACTCTTTGGAAGGAAGTATGGAGAATCCTCAAGGAACTCAAATTAGACCTCCCATTTGATCTCAAATTTGATCCCACTTCTAGGCATCTATCCAGAAGAAAAAAAAATCATTTTATCATAAGGACATTTGCACTAGACTGTTTATTGCAGCTCAATTTACAATCGCCAAAACGTGGAAACAACCTAAATGCCTATCAACCCAGCAGTGGATTAACAGACTGTGGTATATGTATACCATGGAATACTATTCAGCCATTAAAAAAGATGGAGACTTTACATCTTTTGTGTTAACCTGGATGAAGCTGAAACATATTCTTCTTAGTAAAGTATCACAAGAACGGAGAAGCAAGAATCCAATGTACTCAATCCTAATATGAAGCCAGTAGACGATCTAATACACACCCACATAAAAGAGAAACTCAATTCAAGGTGGGGAGCGGAGGAATGAGGGAGCAGTGAGAGGGGAGGAGGAAGGAGGATGAGTGTGTTCCCACTTAATGAGCACGATGTTAGGGAGTATGGCACAGCTCTTGGGGGCGAGATAGAATAAGAGAGACTCTACCTAACAAATGCAAACATCGTCGTAACCTAATTCTTTGTACCCTCAAATTAACCTGAAACAATAATAAAAAATAAAATAAACTGATTTTAAAATGGGTATCTTTTGTAACAACCCAGATGAGATTGAGCCGGTTCTAAGTGAAGTATGGCAAGAATGGAAAAACGAATGCCACATGGACTCAACACAAAATTGGAACTAGTCCATCAACTCTCAGTTAAGTACATCAATGGAAGGAAATTAAATAGCAGGAGGTGGTTGGAGGCGTTGGGTAAATTTACACCTAATGGTGCAATGTACTTCTTTAGGGCCAAGCCACTTATCAAGGAACAATTGCTCTTAGGTGCCTGAGGGCTATTTACTTTAGCAAGGGGAGGGAGAGAGAGAGTCTTTGAGAGAGTAAAGCAGTCTTCTTAGAAAGATAGATCTTAGTCTTTAGCAGACTTTAGTGATCTTCGGCAGAAAGACGCCAGTGGTGGCGCTCTACAGGCAGGAGAGGAGACAGAGTCAGAGTGAGAGATCCGTGATAGAACGTGCACGCTCCCCACTGCCTTCTCCTCCAGCCTAATATAAGGCTGATCTTGTGCCTCTCAACACCACAGGTGTAGAGACTGCCAATTCTCCAATGCCGTCATCTCACAAGCTCTCTCATGCTTGTTAGGAGAGTTAAATTCCTCCCCGTGCCCTTTTCGCCAAGGTGTTCCATTATGGAGCTATACAGATGTTTCTTATAACTCTCACTCCTCCTAGCTATAGGCTATACGGATTGATACAGGGCACACTTTTAACTTAGACTTAACATGTACAAAAGCAGGTTAGGGTGTCGGCACATGTAAACCAACTAAGATGAAATATCATCTCCCCCAGTTAAAATGGCTTTTATCAGAAAGACAAAAAATAACAAATGCTGGTGAGGATGTGGAGAAAGGGGAACCCTCTCTGGGGAAATCAGCACAACCCTTGTGAAGAACAGCATGGAAAGCGACTCCTCAAAAAGACCGTGTTACTGCAGCTCTATTCACAACAGTCAAAGTCTGGAGGAAGCTTACGTGTCCATCAACAGATGAATGGATAAAGAAATTGTGGTATATACATACAATGGAGTATTAGGTAGCCACAAAAAAATGAATGAGATGCCGCCATTTGCACTATTACGGGTGGAACTGGAGAACATTACACTAAGTGAAATAAGCCAAGCGCAGAAAGACAAACCTAGCAGGTTCTCACTCAGATGTGGCAGCTACATCTGAAAAACAACTGATCTGGTGGAGACCAAAGGTGTGGGACGGATAGGGATGGGGGGATAAAGTGGGGGTGGTTAGTGGGTACAAAAGTAGTTAGAATGAGCAATGTTTGATAGCACAACGAAGTGACTATAACCAGCAAGAGTATACTTAAAATAACTAAAAGAGTGGAACTGCAGCCGGGCGTTGTGACGGGCGCCTGTAGTCCTAGCTATGAGGGAGGCTGAGGCAAGAGAATCGCCTAGGCCCAAGAGCTGGAGGTTGCTGTGAGCTGTGATACTACAGCACTCTACCAAAAGGGACAAAGTGAGACTCTGTCTCTTTAAAAAAAAAAAAAAATAGTGAAACTGGAATGTTCTTAACACAAAGAAAGGATAAATGCTTGAGGTGATGGATACCCCAATTACCCTGATTTGATTAATTCACACTGTCTGCCGGTTCGAACAACACATATAGTGTAGAAAGATATACAACTATTATGTACACGTAATAATTAAAAATAAAATTTAAAAAAGAATTAGAACAGGGCGGTGCCTGTGGCTCAAGGAGTAGGGTGCCCGTCCCATATACCAGGGGTGGCAGGTTCAAGCCTGGCCCCAGCCAAAACTGAAAAAAAAAAAAAAGTGTGAGATATATATATATATATATAAACAAAAATATACACATACATGCAATAATAACAACAGGGTGACACTTCCTCCAACTATACACGGCTTGGCCACAGGCCATCCACCTCAAGCCAGGCAAGGCTGGGGTTGCTGCCAGTCTCGTGGATGAGGAAACCAGCCAAGGAGAAGACAAGCCTGAGGCTCATGGGAAATTGAACAAAACCAGCCACCACATGGAGGACCAGCCCAAGGAGGGACTCACCGTGCTGGGCAGGACGTCATCAGTCACCTCAGCTTCTTCAGACATGGCCTCACTGGGCTCCCACAGGCCTGGTGGGGAGGGTTCCTTGGAGGAGAATGGGGTGGCGGGGAGGAAGAGGGCTGGTTTGGGCCAGAATCATCCTCTACTTCCCCACCCCAGCTTTTGCCTCAACTCCCCAAGGCCACTCACCACCTACACCTACACTCACCACCTACACCCTCACCTGTCACCACTGAGAAAAGGGGCACGAGAAGGGGAAGAAATGAGGGGGACGACAGGGAAGAGAAGAAATGGGGGGAGGCAGGCACGCCATGACCTCCTGCTGAGGTCCAGGGTGTTATCTCTGCTGGACACACTGGCATCCCCATTTCACAGATGAGGAAACCGAGGCCCAGAGAGGTAATCTAAGTAAGTGCTAGAGCTGGGATTTGAACCCAGGTCTGATTCAAAGGCCTGCCCACACGCACACACATACACGCACACACAAAGGAATGGAAAACAGAGAACAAAGAGGGGAGAAAAGAAGAAAAAACAATTTTTTTGAGACAGAGTCTCACTATGTTGCCCTTGGTAAAGTGCTGTGGTGTCACAGCTCACAGCAACCTCAAACTCTTGGGCTTAAGTGATTCTCTTGCCTCAGTCTCCCAAGTACCTGGGACTAAAGGCACCCACCACAAGGCCCAGCTATTTTTTGGTTGTAGTTGTCATTGTTGTTTGGAAAGCCCGGGCTGGATTCCAACCTGCCAGCTCCAGTGTATGTGGCTGGCGCCCTAGCCGCTGAGCTACAGGCGCCAAGCCAAGAAAATCTTTTTAAAACACAAAAATGAGGGTAATTGAAAGAGGAGAAGATGCTGGACAGAGGGGCAGGATGGAGGAAGAGCGTGTAGACACCCCCACCCAGCTCCTGCCCTGAGCCTGCCTCATGTGAGGTCCACTAAGCCTCCTGCAGACCTTTAAGCTCAGCGTAACCATGGCAACTGGCCAAATTCTCTCCCTCAGTAGAGAAGGTACCCACCCCGCCGTTAACCTTGTACCTCGATTCCCACTTTCCCACTGATTCCCTTCTCCTTCCCAGACACCTGGACACCAGTGCCCCTGAACCAGCCACCAACACCAGCACCGTGATGGACGCAGCAGAGGCACAGCTGGAGCAGCAGGCACCAGAGGGTCTGTGTGTGCACAGCGACCTCCGTGCCCCCAGCCAGTCTGCCCACTCAGGCATCACGTATGACCTCAGCTACCTGCACGGGAGCCTTGGGGACATCTTCCTGGGGCACATCGATACTGGCCACAGCCGCAGAGAGTCTGGCCAGCTTGGCTTCCACCTCCGCAAAAGGATCCCTCAGGCCCGGTAACATCTGCAGAGGTGACTGCTGTGGCTCCTCCTCCTGGACGTAGTTCTCTTCCGCCGGCAACGATCCTTCGCCCTCCTTGCCAAGATACTCTTCCGAGAAGTGTTTGCTCTCAGACTCCACCTCGGACAACCTAGAGAACTCCAGGTTGGGGGGCTCCTGGGGACCAGGGTAGGCCTCAGACACAGAATTTTCTTCGAGTGTCGGTGACCCACTGGACTCAAAAGAAATCTCAGACTTGGTGGGCCCCAGTTGGGGCAGCTCCTCACATCTAGAGCCATCACTGCTAGGCAGAGTGTCCGGCATGGAGAAGACCTCGGGTCTCTCGGCTGTCTGGTACTGGAAAGTAGAGTACTCAGTCACGTTGGCAAACTCGGCTCTGGACATGACTTCACTCTTGTAGAGGACTTCGGCCTTCAGGACAGCCTCTGGAAAATGGAGAATTTCTCTTAGTTTTCTAAAGGATTAGAAAGAGGGGACCCAAGCCCAATGTATCCAAAAGATAAGGGGAACAGTCAGAGCCTCCCGGGCCCCAGACCTTTCCATCTCTGCCTGCTGCCCTCTCTTCTGTTAGAACTCAAACCTGCCTCTTTCTGCCTCTTCCAGGAAGCCTTCCCTGACCAGCACTGTGATCCCTGCATTCTCTGATCTCGGGGCTGCTAAATGCTGGGCTCTTAGCACTGGCCTGAGGCTGCTCCTCACATGTCAACAGCTGCACCTGTGGGTCTCACAGCCTTTCAAGGCTGAGAGCTCCTGATGGGCAGATTTCATTCTCCAGCCCCCAGGGTGCCATCCCCCCTCAGAATACCTGGCCCAGGGTCTTGTCCTCCAGATATACCAGATGCATGGGAGTGAAATGAATGCCAGAGGGTAATGTCAGAGCTACAGAAGCCAAATAAAGATCATGCGGAGGGCTACGGGACACTCTGAAGAATGGAAAATGCCAGAATCTGCTCCTTCCCTCTTGCTCTGGGTCTCTACCAGCTGGGGTGGGACTGTGCTCACATGGCCCCTCAGGGCCCCCAGCTCAGGGGCTGCTGGCACCTCTTTATCACTTGCCTCCCAGGCTCCCTCAAGAAGGTTCTGATTTTCCCTTTGCTGAAACATGACATCCACTCCCTGACAAAGTCCAGGAACCACCTTGGTCTCCACACCTGTTAAGTGCAGACTGGGGGAGGCTCAGCAAGAGGTGCGGGTAACGGACCTTCCTGGTACCTGGCACACAGTGATGCCCAGATGGTACCGAGGATGGGGCCAGCACCATCACCCTTACACGACTGGGTTTCACAACACTTTCCTGCGTGCCAAGAGGTCTGGGCTTCCTGGCGGAATGTGTGTTTGGATGATACGGTAGGGTGGGAAACCCTAGCATGGCAGAAGAAAGCCACAAACTTCTAGATGGGTAAAAGTCCCTGCTAATGACGAAATCCTTATCCTGGGATGTAGTTGCCATGGTGACAGAGAAGATCAAAAGTGAGAGGAACACTGAAATTCAGGGCAGTGGTGCACGCCCACAATGCAGCTGGTTCTGACTCAGGGTCTGCCGTGAGCTGGGGCCCAGCTGGACTGTGGGCAGCCATCGGGTGCAGTGCAGGGGCGAGAACCCAGCTCTGGAGCCAGACTGCGTGGGTTCAAACCCCAGCTCCACTTGTGACCGGGGACAAGTTACCCTCTCTGTGTCTCGGTTTCCTCACCAAAACGAGGGGGGGGGAGTGATGGTGGTACCTACGTGGCTGGACTGTTGTGAGGGTTAAAAAGCACTGAGCCTGGCGTTGCCCATAGCTCAGTGAGTAGGGCCCTGGCCACATAACCAGAGGCTGGCAGGGTCAATCTCAGCCCAGGCCAGCTAAACAATGACAACTGCAACCAAAAAATAGCTGGACATTGTGGCGGGTGCCTGTAGTCCCAGCTATTTGGGAGGCTGAGCCACGAGAATTGCTTGAGCCCAAGAGTTGAAGTTTGCTGTGAGCTGTGATGTCACTGCACTCTACTGAGGGTGACATAGTGAGACTCTGTCTCAAAAAAAAAAAAACAAAAAACTGAGCCTCGTGCCTAGAGAGCACTGTGGGCGTGCAGCTCCCAGGGAGAAGGAAAAGAGGATGGGGTCCCCCCCACAGCCCTGCTGGCGCACACCTGTCTCCTTCCTCAGATTCTCTTCCAGTGTGGACAGCTTGACGTCGTAGGAGTTGCGCATGGCAGTGATGTCCTCCTCTAGCCTGGCCCGAGACTCCTGCTCGGCCTGGTAGTCGGCCTTCAGCCTGGCCAAGCGCTCTTCGTATTCCTGGGGGCAGGCAGGGCCAGAGGGGAGGTGGCCTGTTACCACCATTTTGAAACACAACTTTCAGAATTCCTGTTTTGCTATTCAGACAATACAGAACGTGCAAGCCGGCCCAAAGAATCCAGGCACGTGACACTGTGACAGTTACTTCCCAATAAGGACCCTTCTGAGCTGTCCTCTACGCATTTTTAACAGGCCCATAATACACGTATTTGTCTATTTTTTTCTACACAACAATCCACCATGAACACCTTTCCGCATCTTTAAATGCCTTCCTACTCAATGCTTCTCAACCCATCAATGACAATTTTTCCCATCGCTTTTCTCTCCGTCACCCCTAGTTCTTGTCCCCACAGCCTCCTGCCTGGCTGCCACTCGCCTTCCGGATCCTGCCCCAACCTCCCCACACAGCCACCACCGTATGCCCATCACACCAGGTTTTGCCCCTGCTCAGAGCCATCAACCCACCCACGTTCACGGGAAAAATCTAAGCAGCTCAATTTGACCTGAGTCCGTACACGATCTGGCCCCGTCTGCCCCTTGAAAACACTTGAGGTCACTGATCCCTTGCAAATCCTGGCCATGCCCCTTCCTCCTGCCTCAGACCCTTGCTTATGGCCTCAGCTTAGTGACACCCCCTTAGAGAGGCCTTCCCTGACCATACTCGGAAGACCCTCTGCCACGCTCCCTATTCCTTCTTAGCACACTTTCTGAGCTTCCATTACTCTCTTTATTGTGTGTGTGTGTGTGAATTTTTTGTTTTGTTTTGTTTTATTTCGTTTTGAGACAGTCTCACTTTGTTGACCTCAGTAGAGTGCTGTGGCGTCACAGCTCACAGCAACCTCAAACTCTTGGGCTTTAGGGATTCTCTTGCCTCAACCTCCCATGTAGCTGAGATTACAGGCACCAGCTACAATGCCTGGCTATTCTCTATTTTTTTTCTTAGAGATGAGGTCTGGCTCTGGTTCAGGCTGGTCTCCAACTCACAGGCTCAGGCAATCCACCCGCCTCAGCCTCCCAGAGTGCTAAGATTATAGGCATGAGCCACCATGCCCAGCCTAAATTTTTTTGTTTGTTTGTTTTATTTTTTATTTTGTTTATTGAAACAGAGTCTCACTTTGTTGCCCTCGTAGAGTGCTATGACGTCATAGCTCACAGCAACCTCCAACTCCTGGGCTCAAGTGATTCTCTTGCCTCAGCCTCCCTGTTCGCTGGAACTACGAGCACCCACCACAATGCCCGGCTATTTTTTTGTTTGTTTTAGCAGGCTCAGGTCAGGTTCGAACCCACCAGCCCCAGTGCGTGTGGCCAGAGCCCTAACCACTAAGCTATTGGCGCCCAGCCTGAATTTTTGTTTTTTAAGACAGGCTCTTGCTTTGTCACCCAGGCTGGAGTGCAGAGGAACAATCATAGCTGAGTTTACAGCCTCGAACTCAAGTGATTCTTCTGCCTCAGCCTCCCATGTAGCTGGAACTATAGCCACATGTCACCATGCTGGGCTAATTTTTGTATTTACTGTAGAGACAGGGGTCTCATTATACTGCTCAGGCTGGTCTTTTTTTTTTTTTTGAGACAGAGTCTCAAGCTGTCACCCTGGGTAGAGTGCCGTAGCGTCACAGCTCACAGCACTCTCAAACTCTTGGGCTTAAACAATTCTTTTGCCTCAGCCTCCCAAGTAGGTGGGACTACAGGCACCCACCACAGTGCCTGGCTATTTTTTGTTGTTGTTGTTGCAGTTGTCATTGTTGTTTTAACTGGCTCTGGCTGGGCTCAAACTCGCCAACCTCAGTGTATGTGGCTGGCACCCTATCCACTGAGTAACAGGCACCGCCCACCCAGACTGGTCTTGACATAGGCATGAATGATACTCCCGCCTTGACTTCCCGGGGCACTGGGATTACAGGTGTGAGCCACGGCAGCTGGGTTTGTTTTCACTGAAGTACAGGACACAGGCTGGGAAATGTCACCTTGAGATATACCCCTCTCCCCAGAGAATGTCCCTTCCCATATTCTGGAATGTTCTGTGGCCCTCAGCCTGCCTTGGAACCACTCTTGCCAGCAGCCTCTCCAAATCCACTGCTGACCGCCCCTCTGTGGTAGAGAATTTTCTCTTTTTCTTAGAGACATTTCTCTTGCCTCTTCAGGCCTCAGCCCACCCACCTGTGCCCTAGCAACACCTGGCTGGAAACACACAGGACTGAAGCCCTGACCACTAAGTTCATAAACTCACCCTAGAAAAAGTGCTCTATACCTCATCGCTGACTATCACTAGGGTCACCTGCGAGGTACTCCCCTTGGGGAGCTATGCACCAACACCAGTACCTCGTTCACCCTCCAAAGCAATTTTGGAACTATTTTTCTGGACTATCAGCACTGTCATTGTATTACCTTAGATGTCCTAAATGTCATCAAAATGTCTTCCTTTGGCGGTGCCCATGGCTCAAAGGAGTAGGGCGCCGGCCCCATATGCCAGAGGTAGCATGTTCAAACCCAGCCCCAGCCAAAAACTGCAAAAAAAAAAAAAAAAAAAAAAAAAAAAAAAAAAAAAAAAAAGTCTTCCTTTTGGGCAGCACCTGTGGCTCAAGAAGTAGGGCACTGGCCCCATATGTTCAAATCCAGCCCTGGCTTAAAAAATGCAAAAAAAAAAAGTCTTCCTTTCAATATTTCGTTTATCTTCGGGTAATGAAAAAAGTCATTGGGAGCCACATTAGGTGAATAGGGAGGGTGTTCCAATACATTCATTTATTTGTCCACTGGCTAAAAACTCCCTCACAGACAGTGCCATGTGAGTTGGTGCATTGTTGTGATGTAAGAGCCATGAGTTGTTGGCCAAGATTTCCAGTTAAGATTTTCCTATTTCTCCTTCAATCAGTCAGAGTAATGTAAAACAAACACAAAAGATTTTCCTGTTTCTCCACTGATGTGTACTCAGTCTCCTATGCTTCTCAGAGTCAGCCAGTGATTCAACAAAGTTTTACAATTCAACAAAGTTTTACAATGTTTTCATCAGCTCTGCTCGTTACTGGCTACCCTGACCTCTCTCCTTCAGTGATGCTTTGTCTCCCCTCAGGAAAACATTTAATCCATATGTACACTGCTCTTTTCTTCATGGCATTATCCCTGTAAACTTGGACTAACATGTGCCTGATTTCACTTCCACTCTTGCCAAGTTTAACAAATTTATGAATGTTGGTTCATTGCTCTAACTCAAGCTCTGACATTCTCAGGACGGTGCACAAAAACGTGCACCAACAAGAATGAACACCATTCAGCAAGACACCACGACACACTGACACAAATACAGCTCTGAGACACTGATATGCCAAGGTTATGAAGCCTTACTGAGCTGTCTGTAGAGTGCTACCAAGGTTAGTGCACGGTGACAAGTTTGCAAACTTAACGGGCAGGCCTTGAACACACATGTACGCGCAAACACACATATGAACAGCACCGACTTCCACTTCCACTCTTAAACGTGGGACAACAAATCCCAGGCGGGCTTCTGAGTGGCCGAGCACACCTCCCCAGGCCTCCCCTCTCCTCTGTCTCCATGACCCTCCATTCCCCCAGAGCAGTAGGAGCCCCTTACCTTCCTGCAGTTCTGCCTAGTGCACCCCCACTCCTGTGACAGCAGATGAGCCATCCAACACCAAGCTACCCGACTTGCTTCCAACACCCCACCCCATCTCCCTCCTATGCCCGACCTCTCCTGCTGTGCTGGAGCCTTCCTGACAGTCCACAAGACATGCTCTGTTACTTCTGATATTTCAAATAAGAAGACCCTTCCTCGGCCCCGCCTGCCTCTCTAGCTCCAGTGCCCAGTGCCCAGCAGGTACTCAGGGTCTGCCTGTTCAGGCTTAAATGGGGGCTAGATTGCTGACCCAGACCCCTGACTCCTGCTTAACATACGACAGGCAGTGATGAGGAGAAGCCCTTCACTTCATCCCCTTACAGCCTGTGTCAAGTGGCAGGGCAGTGCCCTGATGCCCATTCTGTAGATGGGAGAGGCTCAGAGAGCGTGAACAGCTGAACAGCCTGCCCAAGGTCATGAGGCCATCAGGATGTCCATGTAGGGTGTGAAAGGTGGATGGGCCCTAGGAATCTTCTGGTCCAAATCCCCCCAGGAGACTGGAGACTGAAGCCCAGAGTCACCTTGAGCAGATTCCTGGCCCACGCCCTCTCCGCCACACAGAAGGCCTCCTCCCTGGCCCTGAATGGTTCTAAGATGGAAAGGAAAGCAGAGTCCCAGGCACACAGCAGGTGCTCAATAAATAGGAGCAGCATGAGAAAGGACAAATGGGAGGGAGGTGGGAGGCAGACAGCCTCGACTCTTCCTTTAAATGTGGCTCACAGGAAAACCCCTGGGGTTTCTTGGAGTCTTGGTGGTGGCGCCATCAGACACTACTAAGTGGAGGAGGCAGCGACCCCACCCCCAAATGGCTACATCTCCCAGGGGCTTGCCAGGAACAATGGGTCTTCTCCCTGGCGACCACTAGGAGGCAGCAGTGGTCTGGCTGCCTGACAGGGAGCAGCCGCCACCTGCCTGGGCTTCCCTTAGAAGAAGCTTCCAGTCCAGCTCCTGCAGCGTCCCTTCCCTGCCCTCCCCCTGGATACTGCGTAGTTCTATGCATATGTCCAGCTCCAAAGAGTGATGGCCTTCATTTCCAGGAGCCCATGCTCAGACATCCCCCAAAGCCCCATCCTTGCCAGCTCCTCCCCGGGAGCCAGGCCCAAGTTCCAGACAGGGACCTGATACCGGACCTGCCCCAGGCCAGCAGCTGAAAAGACTGGAGCTCCCAGAGCCTCCAGAGGACAGAATGGGGTCCCATTTAGCCTCTCCCCAAACAGCAGAAGCCTCTGCCTGTCATCGGGGACTCTGATAGATTTCTCACAACCCTCCAGCCCTTACCAGTCTGCCCTAGAGGCAGGGCCCGGTCCCCAACACCTGACAAGGACTTCCAGGGCCTAAGGGCTGGTCCCAAGTGAGGTCAGAGTTGAGTGGCAGGGCCCAGCTACAGATATATCCCAGCCCCGGATGAGTTGTCCCTGGCTGGCATTAGATCACCATCAGGAAAAGCCAGTGCGCTAAAGGGACTGTCAAATGTCAAACTCCATCACATGCTCAGGTCTCAGAACGCGGCCTTCAAGTGGTAGAGACTTCAGGAAACCAACAGAGGCATGGATGGAGGTGAAGCCGGGACCCAGGGGGCTCTGCGTTTGCACAGGCTATTCCCATCGCCAGGGACACCCATCAGCCTTCAGCCGCCCCTTCTTTCAGTACCAAGGACAGACCATGCTCCTGAAGATGCCCCCATTCCCCTCTTTATTCTCCCCACGTGACACTGACAAGGCACTGCCAGCAGCCTAGAGGCAAGAGCCCAAACCTGGCCCAGAGTAACCCTGGGCAAGTCATGGCATCTGTTCGAGCCTCTGCTTTCTCTGATACGAGAGAGGGTCTGCAGCCCCAACCCCAAGGTAACAGGGTGAAGGTAGAGTAGCACTGTACTGGAGCCAGCACCTCCTCAGCCCTTCATCCTAAGGGGCCCCAGCTGCCCGCTCCGGTCTCACCTCTCGGATCAGCTGCTTCTCGGCCTCTGTGTCTTGTTGGATCACAGGTGGGGGCAACAGCTTCTCCTCAACCTGGGCAGGACTTGGGGGCCCCTGGCTGTCCAGCAGAGCTAGTACCGAAACAGACACAAACAACCAAGACCAGAGTGTACAGGAACTGAGCAGAATCTCTAGCAAGATAACTATGTGGTCATTCAGGAAAGATTCTAAAGGACCAGATTTATTTCAAACAGGTCTCGGTGGAAAATGCTCAGACAGTCATCCAAGACAGCCCCCCCCCCCATGTTCTAAACACTGAGAATGCAACCCTGAACAAAGAAAACTCCATGCCCACGTTGTGTTTTCCACTGGGGGAGAAAAGCAAACAAAATAAACAAGCAAAATGCCTAACATAAGGCGATGTGTACTAAGTAGAAAAAGAAAGCAGGGCGGAAGCAGACAAAAGCACTGCAATTAAACAGTGAGTTAAAGACCTCAGAGTCACGGTGACAGCAGGGGAGAGAGGTGGTAGGGATCTCAGGGAGGAGGCTGCTAGATTGACAACAGTGAGTGCAAAGGCCCCGGGGCAGGTATGAGGTTCAGAGAAGGGTGGAGAGAGATAAAGACCAGACTGGGAGGGCTGTGGAGCCTCCCAGTGCGGCATGGGTTTTTATTCTGGGTCAAATAAGGCCATTGTCAGGTGTATGCAGGGCAGTAACAGGACAGGAGAATGCGCTGCGGGAGGCCTGTTAGGCAGACCTGTAGTAACTCAGGGGACAGACACTGGTGGCCCAGATAGCAGCAGATGGCCTCTAGCCACATTTTAAGGTAGGGACAACAGGATCTGCTGACAGCTGGGATGTGGATTTGAGAGAAAGTGAGAAGCCACGGATGACCCCACCATTTCTGGTTTGAAGGTCTGGAAGGACTGAGCTGCCATCAGCAGTGTGGGGGTGGCTGCAAGGCTGGCAGATTTAGGGGCCCATCAAGAGCGGCGTGTGGGATGTGTTGAATTCGAAGCGCTTATTAGATGCTGAATATTCAAGTCTAGAATTCAGAAGACATGTTTTTTTTTAATCTCCAATATTTTATGATGTTTTGTCATCTTAGGGGACTTGCTGGCCAGGAAGAGATTGCCCCTCCCAGGGCTAATTCCTGGAGATATTATACAACTGTCCATAAATCCATTCTTCTTCTTCTTCTTCTTTTTTTTTTTTTTGAAATAAAGTCTCATTCTGCTGCCCTAGGCTAGAGTGCCATGGGATCACAGCTCACAGCAACCCTAAACTCCTGGGCTCAAGCAATCCTCTTATGTCAGCCTCTCCCAAGTATCTGGGACTATAGGCCTGCACCACCATACCTGGCTAAATTTTCTATTTTAGTAAAGAAAGGGTCTTGGTCTTCCCCAGGCTAGTCTGGAATTCTTGAGCTCAGGCAATATACCTACCTTGGCCTCTCAGAGTGCTAGGATTACAGGCGTGAACCACCATGCCTGGCCCATAAGTCCATTTTTTTTTAGACAGAGTTTCATTTATTAATCCTTGGTAGAGTGCCATGGCATCACAGCTCACAGCAACCTCAAACTCCTTGGGCTTAGGCGATTCTCTTGCCTCAGCCTCTCTGAGTAGCTGGAACTACCAACATCCGCCACAACGCCTGGCTATTTTTTTGTTGCAGTTTGGCCAGGGCTGGGTTTGAACTCACCACCCTCGGCATATGGGGCCGGCGCCTTACCCACTGAGCCACAGGTACACCCCTATAAGTCCATTTTTGACATAAAAACCAACTAACCCCAAGTCCGCACCCCCAGCCACCTCCTAATCTAATCTTTCAAACACCAAGCCAGGATTGCCTCTGCCTGAACAAACCAGGGCCAGGCACCAGACAACCAGGACTAGCCTATAGGCTACAGAGTCCACTGGGATTATTCCAACTAGCCAGTCCCAACCTGTGTCCCGGGCCTCACTGTACCTTTCCCAGGGCTTCCCCTCCCTCCTGCTGCCTTGGCCTTGGCCTTGGCCCCGGCCCCATGTGCCGTGCCCTGCCTCCCATTTCTAGGGAACCTATAACATTAAACTTTCTTTTCAATGGCAGTGACCTCCCTGTGTTGTCACTTGGTCACGTTTATAAATTGAGACCTAGACACAAATTGCATGGCCAGGCTGGGGGTCTACATCAAGTGCAGAGGTGGTGACTGACACCAGGAGGCCAGATGAAAACCCCTTAGCAGCAAGTGTAGAGAGAGGAGAGGACAGAGGCCCAGCCCAGTGGCGGAGAAGGACCAGGTGGAGAGGTGGGAGGACCACAACATAGGGTGTCTGAGAAGCAAGTGTTTCAAGAAGGGAGGGGTCACCTGAGCCACCTGACACCAAGATGCCAAGGTGAGGCCTGCCTGAGGACTGCTTGCTGGCTGAACAGGGGGCAGCCATCAATGCCAAGGGCAATGCCAGTGGGGGGGGTCTGCCCAGGTAGGGACAAGAGAGAGGGAAGAATGATTGGGACCAGGGAAGTGGGCAGATGCTTCAAGTTCTGCTAAAAGGAAGAAAGAACTATGCCAGTTCCAGGGGGGAATCCAGGCTGAGGGGGCACCATCCCACAGTGAGCACTGAGTGGGCAAAGCTTTGGCTTAGACACACGCGGTCTCAAGTCAGAGCAGCAGGAACTGTCTGTCTCTGCACCAGGCCTCACACAGAGCCTAGGTGGGTCTCCTCACTGCCTCAAGGCAAACACAAGTGTCATCACAATCTCCAGCTCCCAGGGGAAGGGATTGAGGCTCACAGGGGCTGTGTCACCTACCCAAGAAGCAAGGAGGTGAACGGGCTATTGACCACACAGCTCTCAGCTCTCTCCCCAGCGCTGCCCCAACGGGTTCAGCCTGCTGAGCTCCAACCTCCTCATTCCAGGAGAGGGGACACTAACAGCTCTCCCTGGGAGCAGCACCTCCCTTGACCCCTCTTCCTGGTACCCCTCACCACTCCTGCCTGCCTTGCCCCTTAACCATCTGGGAGCTGAGCAGGGCTGGGGCAGGGAGCAGGAGAAGAGGAGGAAGGCAGATAGCCAATATGGAGCCCCTTGTCGTGGTGGCCAAGGCCACCTCTCTCTGCCCCAGCCCCTGCCTGGAATCTCCCACCACCCCTAGACCCCAGGCAGCCAACAGAAGGATCTGTAGTTCCCCAAATGTACTGCAGAATTTGTGCATCTTTGTATACACTGGCCACTCTCAAACTAACAGGGAAAATTCTCCCCCACCAAGACTCAGCTCAATCACTGCCTCCTCTGGGAAGCCCTCACTGACTGACGATGCCTTACCCCAAGAGACCTGGCTATGCACGCCTTTCTGCCCTGTTCAGCTGTCTGCCCTAGAGTGTGTCTTGCTGAGAGTGATGGTCTGCTGGAGTGTCCTTCTCCCCCAGGCAGTTAAGTACCCCATGAGGCAGACGCTGGGTCTGATTCATCTCTGTGTCCCCAGTACTCGGCATGGGCCCACACACAGAGGACGTACTCAGTGGCCTGGGATGGATGGATGGGTGGGCGAGTGGAAAGACAGATACGAGATGATGAGAGTGAATGAATGGGTAGATGCAGGGATGATAGGGTGGATGGGATGTGTGGTTAGCATGGGTGAATGGATGAGAGATTACATGGATAGAAAGGTGAGAGGGTGGATGGAAGGAAGGATGGGAGGATGGGTGAGTCTTTGGATGATGACTGAATGGACAGGAGGAGGAGTGGATGACAGATGGATGGATGGGTAGACGGATAAATAATGGTGTGGGTAGGCAGGCAGGTAGGTAGATGAAAAGGTAGAAGGGTGAATGCGTAGTTGGGTGGGGGGTACAGAATGGAGGGACAGGGAGGAAGGTGGGTGGGAGGTGAATGAATGGACAGAGGGACCCAAGCTCTTTTGTGCCCCCTTCCTCAAAAGATTCAGAGATAAGCAAATCTTAGAGTCCCTGTGTTCCAAAGACCCTGCGGGCCTGTGCTCCAGCTAAAGATTTCCACCTGCCTGATGACAGCCAAATAAATGCCTGGGTGTGAGAGCCGCAATGACAAGGTGCCTCTCCAGGAGTAGGGGTGGGATGTGGGGGGTGACTCAGCAGCTGCTGAGCAGCTCAGCCTCACCATGCTGCCCCGGGACAGCAGCCAACAGGGTATGACGGATGAGCACAGCGGAGACAGGGAGTGGGTGACAGAGCCCATGAGTGACAGAGCCCGTGGCTGATGGAACAGGCTAGACAGACTGGCCTCCTTCTGGGGCCCTTCACACTCAGATGCCACCTGGGCTGTCCCCAGCCAGGGCTGTTCTAAAGGCAGCTGATGTGAGGTGGAACGGAGGTTCCCCTCATCTCTCAGACGCCTTCCCCCTTGCCAGCCCTCCTGCCACTTGCCGCCCAGCTGTCTTACCTGACAGGCTGCTGGGGCTCATCTGCTGGGCCAGGATAGCCTTGAGCTTCTTGATCTCCTCCTGGTACTCACGAAGGAGCGCGTCCTTAGGGTCCTCGTTGATGTGAGGCTTGTTCCTGATGTTCTTGGCCCGGTTGGCGTAGCGCAGAGTGCTGAGGGTCTCGTCGTAGTTGTTGTCAGCAGGTGACAGGCAGGCCACCATCAGCGTCTTGGTGTTGCCGCCCAGGGAGTCTTGTAGCAGCCGCGTCAGCTTCGAGTCCCGGTACGGGATGTGTTTGCAGCGTCCGTCCACCAATGCCGAGATGACGTTGCCCAGCGCCGACAGCGACAGGTTGATCTTAGTGGCCTCCTTGAGCCGCTCCCCCGTGGCACCCGTCTTGGACTGCCGCTCACTGCCGGCCAGGTCCACCAGGTTCAGCTTTCCCGCACGAAGGTGGTCCTTGCCCCGCTCGTCTGCAGAAAGACCAGGCATTGGTGAGGGCCTCAAGTGAAAAGCCACCAGGCACCACAGCTCACTCTCCCCCACAAGTGCGTCTGGAGCCCCATGGAGCAGGTGCTGTTACTGTGTCCATCTTACAGAAGAGGAAACTGACATTCAGAGAGGGCATGGAACTTCACCTGGTCACACAGCTGCTAACTAGGGTAGCAAGATCAGAGCTGTCTGACTCCAGGAGAAGGGGCTGGGAGTCACAAGTTGTCCTCTGAGTGCAGTGGGACTCCTACAGACCTCCTGTCGGCCAAAGGCAGACAACATGGGGCTACAACTGGATCACCAGGGAGTTGTGTCCTTTAACACAGGAAACATCAGCTTTGGAGACTCCTGCACCCAGTTCCCAGCCCAGTCCTGCCTCCTCCTTGCTGTGTGACATTAGCAGAGCCACACACCTCTCTGATTCTCAATTTCTCACATGAACAAAATGAGACTAACAATAGCTCCTCACAAGGGTATCGGAGGTAAGGTAGCAAATGCAAGCAGCAGTGTGCTCGCTGCAACCTGCCGGCATCACTTCCCAGGCCCCTGACTCTGTGAGGACCCACAGCTCTCCGGAGAGAGGCTGTGAGGACAAACAGGATAGAGTGTCCATTCACTCACCTCTCCCCCACCCTGGCACCCTGTGCCTCCTGCCTCAGTCATTACATTCCTTAAGAGATAAATGACTCCAGTCTGGTCTTTTCCTGCACATGATATCTGGCAGAGCCATCATGCCTCTGTAATCTATTACTGGTATGATTCTGCTTCACTGTAATTTCTGAGTAAGTTTGATACGGTCTTGTACCTACTGAATCTTCATCACCCATATACAAACTGTGGAACACCACATCGGAGCAGTCTGAAATCTGGTCTTGGGCTATGGGCCTCAGTCTATAGCCCTCAGTGAAATTTCTGAATAAATCTAACTTTAGATTAGGCACAGTGGCTCACACCTAATAATATATATATTATTATACATAATCCCAGCACTTTGGGAGGCCAAGGAGGGAGGATCACTTGAGGCCAAGAGTTTGAGGCTAGCCTGAGTAACACAGTGAGACCCTGTCTCTACAAAAAAACTTTTTGTTTCATTTTGTTTTGGTTTTGAGACACAGTCTCACTTTGTTGCCTGTGGTAGAGTGCTATGGGTGTCACAGCTCACAGCAACCTCAATTTTGGGGCTGAAAAGATCCTCTTGCTTCAACTTCCTGGGTAACGGGGACTACAGGTGGCCACCACAACGCCTGGCTAGTTTTTTCTATTTTTAGTAGAGACAGGGTCTCACTCTTACTCAGGCTGGTCTCGAACTCCTGAGCTCAAGTGATCCACCTGCCTCAGCCTCCCAGAGTACCAGGATTACAGGCATGAGCCACCGTGCCCAGCCAGAGCACAGATTTCAATTGTGTTTAGAATTTTCTTAGGAAAAAGGGATCAAAGAAAATATGCTTAAATGTTAATTGTGTTTACTTCCAGAACTATGAGTAATTTTCCCTACCAGTCTCTACTTTCTAAATATCTTTATTGAGCTTTTATTATTTTATAATGAAAACAATAAACATGCAGGTGGCTTCCCCATCCTTCAAATCCTCCTGCAAAGACAAGAGGTGCCCCCCAAACCAAGTCGCTCTCTCATCCTCCCTCCTAGTCAGTCCTCAGCTGCCCCAGTCCCTGCACCTCCCCCAGCCACATCACTGAGGCTGTGTCCACACTGACCGCCCCATATCAACACCCCCTGGGACTCTCAGACAGACCACTCCACACCCAGGGCACCAGGGGCAAAGCCAGTGTGGCAGAAGTTCCCTGGGTCAGGATCTGGCCTGACGCTGCTTCCTGCTCCTCTGCTCTTTGGAGTTCTAGCCAGGATGGACCATAAACTTGGAGGCGGCTGCAGTGTTAATGGAGAAAACCCAGGTGTCAGGAAAACCTGGGTTTAAGTCCCAGATCTACTGCTTAGTGGTTACAGGGCCTTGACCAAGCAGATCACTACACCTCTCAGAGCCTCAGTTTCCTCTTCTGTAAAATGAGAATTACAATGCCTGTCTCTGTCCTGCTGTGGGGTTTAAATGGAGTGAAGTGGCACAAAAAGCTTAGCTCAGCATCTGCCCATAGATGGTCCAAAAATAAACCCGGGTTTCTTTTCTTCCCCTTCTCTGTCTCAGTAACTCTTCCAGAAAGAAAGAAGGATGAAGTGATCGAACATTATACAGAAAGCAGAGAATCCCAAATGCCTATGTGATACCCACTCTGGGGGCAGAGTCCCGGGACAGAAACCCAGCTCTGACACTTTTTTTTTTTTAGAGACAGCGTCTCACTGTATCACCCTCTGTAGCGTGCTGTAGCGTCACAGCTCACAGCAACCTCCAACTCCTGGGCTCAGGCGATCTCTTGCCTCAGCCCCCCAAGTCACTGGGACTACAGGCGCCCACCACAATGCCCGGCTATTTTTTGTTGCAGTTTGGCCAGGGCTGGGTTCGAACCCACCACCCTCTATATATGGGCCCAGCGCCCTACCTACTGAGCCACAGAAGCCTCCCCACTTTTCTTTTCTTTTTGAGACAGAGTCTCATTATGTCACCCCCAGTAGAGTGCTGTAGTGTCATAGCTCACAGCAACCTCAAACTCTTGGGCCCAAGTGATTCTCCTGCCTCAGACTCCCAAGCAGCTGGGACTATAGGGGCCCGCCACAATGCCGGGCTATCTTTTGTTGCAGTTGTCATTGTTGTTTAGTTGGCCTGGGCCGGGATCAAACCTGCCACCCCTGGTGCATGTGACTGGCACTGTAACCACTGTGCTACAAGCCCTGAGCCTCTGACACTTTTCTATCGTGTGACCTCAATTTCCTCATCTGTAAAATGGAGATGATATCAGTACCTGTCTCATGGGGTGGCTGGAAGGAGTGCATGTAAACTGCTTGGCACATAGTAAGTGCTTGGTGTCAGCTACCGTCTGATAGCTGTCGTTGGAAACATAGTTCTGAGCACTGTGTGGCCCCCTTGTGTCTCCCCCAGCAGTTGGAGCACCCTCTTCCCACTTTTCAACAGGGTCTTGAGGCTCCACCAGGTGAGGCGTCTTGGCTAGCAGGAGCCCCTCTTTGCCCTCAGCCACCCCGCGTACCCACAGCATAGATCTCGATGCTGATGGTGAAGATGGAGTGGGAGCGCGAGGAGTCCTTGTTCATCAGTGTGTAGCCCACCGAGCGGTTCTTCCAGCCTGTCTCCATGATGCGCTCACACTGGGCCACGCTGTGCACCGTGTGCATGGATAGCCCCTTCACGTACACGCCCTTCTCCGGATGCTCCTTCAGCTGTGGGTAGGACAGCAGGTCAGGGGCAGAGCCTCCCGCCTCCAAGAGGTGGGCCCAGGGGTCCCCAAGGACCCTGAGGAAAGGGCCCAACCCAGACCACCCCTGCCCTCCTACAGCACAGGCTGGCACTTCAAACACACTGTAGCAGGGAAGGAGTTCACCCCAGATGGAGCCCGCTTCAAGCCTACCCCTGCCTCCTACTGGTCCTGGGACCTGAGGTCAGTGACTTAACCTGAGCCTCAGTTTCTACATCTGTAAAATGGGTATGAGATTCCTAGCTCCTAGGGATATGGTGAGGATTCAATGAAATAAGGCACATAACAATGCTTAGCATGGTGCCTGACACATGATAAGTGCCCAGTAAATACCACCTGCTGTTACTGCTGTCAGTGCTATTATTATAAAGGTGGTTTCAGTCTGTAAGCTACAGACGCCTGGGGCTGACCCTGTGGTCACCCCAGGGCCCTCAGTGCTGTCTCCTTTGCCCTGTTGACATGGCCCCTGATCGCCTCTCTTCTGCCACTCCAGGGCAACAGGAATGTCCACAGACCCTCAGACCATGGCAAGTGAATAGCCATTTGCTACCCAGGACTCCTGTAGGCTGGCAGCACTCAGTGTGATGGTGGAGAGTAAATTAATTTATCTGACTGCTCCCTGCTGGCTTTCCAGGCAGCCAAGTTGTTTTGTTGCTGACACAGAGCTGTGAAACGCAATATTTTTCAAGTGTGAGAGTAAATGAAACCACTCTGGCAAGAGCAGAATGAATGAGGACAAAAGGCATTTGTCTGCCAAATGGAAGGCTCAGGTGCTTTGCTCTGGGCAGCCTCAGGGATCCCAGGTGGGGTTGGGCCCTGCTGTGGAGAAGGGGGCAGGTGCAGGCTGGTCCTGTCGGCCAAAGTGTGAAGTGGACTAATAGCCAGACTCAGCCCTGAGACTGGGCTTCACAGAAGGGATGAATAACAGAAGCACAGAAAGGTTAAGTGACTTGCTGAAGGTCACACAGCTGTTAGTGGGGTCCTAGGCAAGGGAAGGCTGGAGCATCCTGCATCCTGAAGCTGGAAATGACAAAGGCCAATGACCTTGAGTTAGGTGGTGGCTATGAGCACAGAGCCCCAAGGACAGAAGCAGCCCCCCAAAAAAACTTCCCATGGCTTGAGGCCCTGCCTATTTGGCACAGTAGGCTGAGGTGATTGAACCAAGCTCTTGGGCTGGAAATCTAAAATTCTGTCACTTGCTAGTTGGAGAAATCAGTTTGCCTCCCTAGGCTTTAATTTCCTCTTCTGTAAAATGGAGATAGTAAGTCCCATTTCTGCAAGACTATTAAAAGGATTAAGAAGAGAATGGATCAGGCAGCGCCTGTGGTTCAGTGGGTAGGGCGCAGGCCCCATATACCGAGCGTGGCAGGTTCAAACCCCACCCCGACCAAACTGCAACAACAAAAAAATAGCCAGGCATTCTGGCGGGCACCTGTAGTCCCAGCTACCTGGGAGGCTGAGGCAAGAGAATCGCTTAAGCCCAGGAGTTGGAGGTTGCTGTGAGCTGTGACGTTACAGCACTTTACTGAGGGTGATAAAGTGAGACTCTGTCTCAAAAAAAAAGAAGAGAATGGATCTAAAAGAGAATTCTGGGGGTACTTGGTGGGGCCTCAGTGAACCAGGTCATAAAGAGGGGGAGGATGCCATCTTCAGGGACCTCAGGAGACAGCTCAGCTTTCCCCCAAAGGGGCTCCCACGGCTCTATTTTCAGGCCCAAGAAGATTCTCCCCTGCCCCTGGTGAAGCCCCCAGGGCTTCTTCTCCCACACATTACCAACCCCACCTCAATGCCTGGGGAGGCGCTGAGTCACATCCCCAGCTGCTCCCACCTGCACGCACCACCTCCTTGGTGACTGCTTATCTGTGGCTGCTGCAGAGACCAGAGCCCCGTCACCATGGCAACCAGCTGGGATGGAGAGGGGCACACAGGCATGCACACATCCTTGGCTGCCTTGGGGAAGGAGGCTCTGGACACTACCTGAACATAGGGTAGGAAGAGCCCACAACACGGGGCTGGGTTCCAGGGTGGTAGTTTGTAGTGGCTGTGGGAAGGGCGTAACTCTGCTTCCCCAAATCTCTTGCTGGCCTTAGCAGATTTAATAAGCTCTAATTATAGCCATTATCAGGCCCTGTGCTGAGCCCAAGTTAAGAGCTTGTGCTGTGGAGCCTGGCTCCCTGTGTTCAAATCCCATCTCCACTCTTTACTGTGTGCCCATGGGCCGGTCTTACTTAGCCACCTCAAGCCTCAGTTTCTTCATCTGTTACAAGGATGAGACCAGTACCTCCTCCTAAGGCTGCTGGGAGGTTTGCACAAAAAGCCCACTATACATTGTCCACAAAGGGAATGTCAAAAGCCAGGGGCCCAATGCAGGTGTTTCATGAGCATATCTGTCGCTGAGGCTGTCAAGGTAGCCTGGCTCACCTGGCCTGAGGCCCATGGCTCGGGGCACTGAATGCCCTCAGCTGCCAGTCTGAGGCCCCTCTAGCCAGTGAATGCCCTTGGCTGCCAGCCTGAGACCCCTCTGGCCTGGACACTGAGGGTTTCTAGGATCCAGGGTAGTGAGGAGGACAGGAAGGAGAGCACCTGCTGCCCTGGGGCAGGTTGGCAGAAGTTTTGCAAGGGGGCAGAGGATCCACCTCCACAGCGGAGACAATACTCTAGGCCTGCCCCCTCCCCCTATTTCCATGCCTAGGAAATGTCTGTGACTCAGCTGCGCTAGGAGAGGAGACTAGAGAAAGACTGCCTTCTCCTAGGTGGGTGGCCAGAGGTTTCTGCATAAAAAAGGCAAAGCAAGGGGTGAGGGGTGACGTGGCAGGTGCCTGTAGTCCCAGATGCTCAGAAGGTTGACCCAGGAGGATCCCATGAGCCCAGGAATTCAAGACCAGCCTGGGCAATACAGCAAGACCTTGTCTACAAAAAGAAGTACCCAGCCTCACCTGATCCCACCCTCCCCACTACCAGCCCCACCTGCCCACACTGGGTCTGCACCCACCTCCAGCTTCTGCTTGGTGTCAGTCCCCAGCAGGTCACGGACATCTTCATTGTAGATCTCCAGGTAGGAGGCTCGGACCAGGAACTTGGTATTCTCTGCACACTGCAGGGTCACACAGAGAGAACCAGGACACCTGAGTGCCAAGCCCACCCGCTGCCAGGTCTGCCCCTGGGACCTGAGCCCTCTGTAGCCAGGACATCTTAAGAGGAGAGGGGATGTCAAGGTAAGAGCTGCCCTCCTGGCAAGCTCTCCCCCGCCTCCACTCTCCAACTTGGCGGACCCTCAGCCCTCTCCCAGTCCTCATCATTTGTCTAATGCTCTGTCTGTAAGCCTCAAGGGAAAGGAAATAGAGACCTTCCCCTATTCAGATAGAAAAACAAAGGCCACAGGTAAGGTCTGGACCAAGTACTGGCTCTAGGATGGTCCCTAGCAGCTTTCCCAGCCTCTAGATGCTCCCTCCTGTGGACTAATACAGTGAGTGCTGGGCATGGGTCCACTGGGCTGTGCAGCTGGCCAGGGCTGCAGGCCCCACTCTGCCATTTCCCAGGGGCAGGACTTTGCACGCCACCATGCAGAATCACCAGGGCGATTCTCACCTGCAGCCTGCACACTGAGATGGATTCAGAACTCTGTCTTAACCCAGCCCATAAGGGCTCTAACACCTCAGCGTTCCATGTTGAAAATGGGGACAAACACTACCTCCTGGGTCAGTCTGGGGATTCAAGGAGATAATTATGCAAAGGGTTTCACACAAGCCTTGGTCCACAGCAATTGTCTGATAAAAGGGGGAAGTGATGATGATTATAAGCACTTCCTGGCCCAGTGCTCAGGATGGCCATATCCCTGAGAAATGAAAAATGACAGGAGGAAACCATGGAACTGGTAAATAGAATTTTCTCAGTTTTGTTTTTTTCCCACCACCTTTTCAGAATCCAGAGCCTTCTCCATTAGTCCCTGCTAAATCAAGCCAGGCTCTGATTGGGTCCCATGTCCATGACATAGCTCAGACATGCTCTGGGGACCATTTGTGGCTCTAACTCTGCCCCTGCCCTCTGTAAGACCCATACCTGGACGCTCTCAAAAACGTGCTCGAAAGCCCTGGGGATGATGCCTCTCTGGCAGGGGGGGTCCGGCAGGCCCTGCATGGTGAAGGACTTCCCGCTGCCCGTCTGGCCGTAGGCAAAGATGGTGCCATTGTAGCCCTCGGTGACACCCTGCATGAGAGGAAGCCAGAATTCACTTCTGAGCACAGGGGGCTGGGGGCCAGGCCTCTAAACTCTCAGAGTCTCATAGAGATGAATAAGGCACAGCTCTGTCTTCAAGGAGTTATCTAGAGCGGGGAGGAGACCGTCTCTATGGGGAGGCAGCACTTGCACTGGGGAGTCCAGCCCCCTGGGTTCACATCCTGCCTCCACCCATGACTGACTGTACCTGTCAGTGGCCCTGCTTAGGCATATTAAGTCTCAGTTTCCTCATCTGTTTTTTTTTTTTTTTTGAGACAGAGTCTCACTATGTTGTCCTCGTAGAGTGTGGTGGCGTCATAGCTCACAGCAATCTCAAACTCCAGAGCTTAAGCGGTTCTCTTGCCTCAGCCTCCCATGTAGCTGGGACTACAGGCACCCACCACAACACCCAGCTATTTTTTTGTTGCAGTTGTCATTGTTGTTTAGCAGGCCCGGGTCGGGCTCAAACTGGCCAGCCTCGGTGTATGTGGCTGGTGCCCTAGCTGCTGAGCTACAGGTGCCAAGCCTCCTCATCTTTTTTTATTTTTTATTTTTTTTTGAGACAGAGTCTCAAGCTGTCACCCTGGAGTGTTGTGGCACCACAGCTCACAGCAACCTCCAACTCTTGGGCTCAAGCGATTCTCTTGCCTCAGTTCCCAAGTAGCTAGAACTACAGGCACTGCCACACTACCCAGCCATTTTTCCGTTGCACTTTTCATTGTTGTTTGGTAGGGCTGGGCTGGATTTGAACCCGCCAGCTCTGGTGTACGTGGCTGGTGTTCTAGCCACTGAGCTACAGTTTCTTCATCTTTAATAAAGAAAAAGAACAGCATTCCCCACAAAGGCTGCACGAGGTTGACCTAAGGATTATTTCATGCATTAACACCTGAAAGGCCAGCATACAGAGGTGCTCCTTCAATGCCTGCCTGGAACACAGGGACACTGACACACATATAAGCAATTCTCATGGTGACAGAGGTGTGTGTGATGACAGAAGTCCAGGCAGTATGCAAGGGGACGGAAAGAACAGAAGGGGAAACAGGGCAGCATGGAAGAACCAGGCTAAGCTTTCTGTACAGCAAAGACCAGGAAGAAAAGGGGGAGCTAAAAGGGTGACTTGGATTTTGACAGGTGACAGGAAGAGGAAGGCATTGTAGGCCAAGGGGACAACTTGAGTAAAGCTTCAGAGGTGAGATGTGGAGAGTAGGTGGAACTCAACAGCTCACTGCAACATCAGACTCCTGGGCTCAAGTGATCCTCCTGAGATCTGGGACTATAGGCACCTGCCAGAACTCTTGGCTGATTTTTGTATTTTTGGTAGATGTGGGGTCTCACTATGTTGCTCAGTCTGACCTCAAGCAATCCTCCTACCTCAGCCTCCCAAAGTGCTGGGATTACAAGCACTAGCCACTGTGGGGTTTTCTGTTTGTTTTTTTGAGACAGAGTCCCACTCTGTCACCCTTGGTAGAGTACTATGGTGTCATAGCTCACAGCAACCTCAAACTCTTGAGCTTGAGTAATCCTCTTGCCTCAGCCTCCCCAGTAGCTGGGACTACAGGTGTGCACCACAACATCTGGCTAGTTTTCCTATTTTTTTTTAGTAGAGAGGGGGTCTTGTCCTTTCTCAGGCTGGTTTGTGAGCTCCTGAGTTCAGGTGATACAACCATCTCAGCCTCCCAGAGCGCTGGGATTATAGGCATGAGCCACTGCGCCCAGCCAACTGTGTTTCATTTTAATTGTTGAAACTTTGGCATCCAAACCAAGATGTGCTATCAGTATAAAATACATACCAGATTTCAAAGACTTAGTATGAAGAAAGTAAAATACTTCCTTAATAATGACAATATGCTGACATATAGTAATAATATGTATTATTATATTTTTTTGAAAATGACAATATTTTGGATCTATTGGGCTAAATAAAATATATCATTAAAATTAGTTTTACCTGTTTCCTTTGACTTCTTAAAATGTGGCTGCTACAAAAACTAAACTTACACGTGTGGCTCATGTTGTATTTGTCTTGGAAAATATTGCTTTAGAACTGTGCCTTCCACACTGTACCCGACTGTATTAATGTACACAGCGATGATTTAATAATAAAATAAAATTAAAAAGAACTGTGCCTTCCAATATGGCAGCCACTGGTCCTATGTGGTTATTTAAATGTAAGCCAATTAAAGTTAAATAAAATTAAAATTCATTTCCTTAGTAGCACTAGCCCTATCTTGAGTGCCCACTTGCCACCTAATTGGACAGCATGGATACAGACCGTGTTCATTGTCACTGAAAGTACTATAGGACAGGGCTGCTCTGGAGTTAAGGAGAAAGTACTTTTTACGTGCACTTCTAAAGCAAAACAAAGATATCCCAAAAGTCTCCATCAGTTGAGGCCTCCAGATGCCAAGGGGACAAGCACACGCACGGAGCAGGCCCTAAATGCCCTGCCCTCTGTACCTCCACCCTGGGCTCTGCCATATCCCCTTGTACTAGGATTCCCTGAACAGTTTTCATGAAGTCAATGTTAATGGACTCTTAAATTTGGTGTCATCCTCAGCAATAATTCCCAGGACATTGCACTCTAGATTGGATATGCTAATGGTTTTTTTTGACTCTACATTAAAATAAGCACATAATTATTGAAATTAAAATAAAAAACATTCCAGCCTGAGCAAGACAAGATCCCATCTCTACTGAATATAGAAAAACCAGCTGGGCTGCGTAGTGGGCGCCTGTAGTCCCAGCTACTCCGGAGGCTGAGGCAAGGGGATGGCTTGAGCCCAAGAGTTTGAGACGGCTTTGGGCTATGATGCCACAGCACTCTACCAAGGTGACAAAGTGAGACTGTCTCAAAAAATAAATAAAAAAGTAAAAAAGATCTGTTCTAAATTACCACATGTCCTCTTTCTGCCCCTCCCAAATGGTTCATCCAGGGACATCTATGTCTTCTCTGGCCTCTACTGCATGGCTATCTCTGGAAGTCACCCCCAGATCCCCAGCCTAAACAGGGGGCTGGGTCATCAGAGGCGACTCTGAGTCCACAAGTTACAAAGGGGACAGGAAGAGAGACATCCCAGCCGCTAGCCATGAGGAACCTTCAGACCAGGCACAGGCTGGGTGTGGGGAGAGGAACTTGAGGCAGGGTGAGCTGAGCCAGCCATAGGGCAGGTCTGGAGTGGACACACCCAGAAGAGCAGAAAAGCTCACCCAGTGAGTGACAAGAGAAGATGAGGAGCAGAGGCGTAAGGAGTGGAGAAAAAAAAGGACAGGACAGAAAAGAGCAGTCCGCAGGGCTTGGGGCTTTGAACAGTGGGACTTGAGGAAGGTCCTGGGCAGGAGGTTGTTCTGGGGCCCCAAGTCACTGGCTGGAGTGCCCAGGAAGCCAGGGCAGAGCTCAGCAGGGCAGAGACACAAATACCCGGCCCTACGGTGCTGCTAGTCCCTGCTCAGCAGCAGCCTGAGCTCTGCTTTGCATGTTGCTCCTTTAACAGGGGGCAGCAGATGGGGGGACATAGGAACTGGGCTCCAGAAATCAGAACTGTCCCTAATTTGCACTGTGACTCTCTAGGCCTCTGCTTTCCCCATCAGGAGTGATGACTCCAGCTCTTCTGGTGAACATCAAATGTTGTATGGGTTCTCTAGGGCCCTTTCTTCCACTTCTCTGCCTACTTCCTCTTAATCCTTTAGATCTCAGCTGAGACCTCACCTCTTCCAGAAAGTCCTCCCTGCACTCCCCTTCATTCCAAGTGGAGGCTGGCTAGCCTTCCCTAGCCTGCCCAGGCTCTCCTCCCTCCTATCACACTGGATCTAACAATTAGCTTTGTTAACAATTAGCTTCTCCACCTGACCCTGAGCTCTTGGCAGGCACAGGCATACCTCCTTTACTGGCACTCCCCACGCTGGGATGGGGCCTGAGAGGACGATGCTGTTTAGTTACTTAGCTAAATGAATGAACATATCATGTGAGTTTGAGGCTCTGTGGATTGTCCAAAGGCGAGTGTCTGACAGAGAATCCCAAACCCCCGTGGACTTCAGTAGAGGATGGGGAGCTAGAAGGGAGGATCTGACAGGGTGTCCCTGCATCTCGCTCTGGGCTGGAGCCTCCTGGGACACTGATAAAAGAGGTTTGTTTGGGGACTACTTCCAGGATAAAGAGGGGGCCGAGAATCTACCCCACAAACAAGGCCGAAGCCCCTGGAAGAGGCAAGGCCAAGGAAGAACAAAGCCTCCAGATCTCTGGACCCTGGCATGAGGGACAGAGGTGTTCAGGGGGACCCAGGGACAGAGCTAGGGTAGGCTGTGGAAATCCTCAGGGAGGCCAACCTGGACTCTGTGGGCGCAGTGGTCTTTTAGAAGGTAGAATGAGCTGTATAGGGAAGAGTGAGCTCCCATCAGTGGAGACACACAAGCAAGGGGGACACTTAAGGACCTGATGAAGGGGGGCTGGATCAGATGACCCTTTAGAGTCCTTCCAGCCTGAGAGTCAAGGCCAGCAGAGGGACAACTGGCTATCCCCAGAGCCTAGGGCTGTCTCCTGAGGAGAGCTGTACTGACTTCCCTGGGTCCTGACCACTGGGAAGCAAGCATTTCCCAAACTGTTCCTTTTTTTTTTTTTTTTGAGACAGAGCCTCAAGCTATCCCCCTGGGCAGAGTGCCATGGCATCACAGCTCACAACAACCTCCAACTCCTGGGCTCAAGCGAGTCTCCTGCCTCAGCCTCCCAAGTAGCTGGGACTACAGGCGCCCGCCACAACGCCTGGCCATTTTTCGGTTGCAGCCATCATTGTTGTTTGGCGGGCCCGGGCTGGGGATTCGAACCCGCCACCTTAGGTGTATGTGGCTGGCGCCTTAGCCGCTTGAGCCACAGGCGCTGAGCCAACTGTTCCTTTTTTTCATGGGACAGCTCAGATTTGCTAAACAGCAGTGGGGAGATGATGGTAGAAAGGAATGAGCCCCTGGCCGGAGAGGAGGTGGCATTCCAGTCCCACCTCTGCCAGAAGCTTGGGCAAGTCTCTCTGCTCTGGGCCTCAGTCTCCCCACAAGCCCCTGTCATGAAGCGGCCTAGGGTGAACAAGAGCCCTCTAAAGTGAGAAACTGTTGTTTCTTCCCTGGTCCTCAAACACTGAGAAGGAAGAGGGTAATTCAGACCAAAGAGAAAGGGCTTCCATTCCTCCAAGACAGAGGCCAGGCCAGCGGCCACTCTGCAGACGCAGATAGGTGAGGCCTTTCCTCCCTAAGCAGTCGGCTTGTACTGGCCAGCGCCCCAGGAGTCCCAAGGGAGGATGAGGGGGATCTAGGGGGAGGCTGCTGGAGTGCAGGGCTTGGGGAGGGGAGGGGAGGGAAGCGGAAGCCACAGGTGAGGGCAGGAAGGAGGAGGGAGGGGGCTCTGGGGAGGGAAGAGGGGGCTGGGAAAATGGCTGGAGCTTTCAGGATCCTGAAGGTGTCGGGTGAGGGTGGAGGGTGAGTGGTCCTAGGGGATAGAGTTCTTTTGGGAAAAGGTCTGGAAGGAACAGGGTGTGAAGTTCAGCTGTGGCTTTGGGGACAGTGGAGACCCAGACGCGACGCTGTAGGCAGGCTTCAGCCGTCTCCTGCCTGGACTGACGTCTTCAGACCAACCTGTTGCTGTGCTGTCCACCTGCGCCCCTCCAGAGGGCCTTCTCACCAGGCTTGGGGGCAGCGCTGACCCTTCAGGACCCTCAGGTGGCCCTAGCCCTTCCCTGTCAGTCTCTAAGGCGGCCTGCCAGGCGCCCTCACCTCCACCAGCGGGTAAGCGATCTCGTTGTAGATCTGCTCGGTGACGTGGTCCACGTAGTAGGCGCCGTCAAAGGTGAACTGCTTGGGGGGCTCGTCGGCGGCGCCCGGGTTCTGGATGAAGCACTGGCCTCTCGCGGAGTCCACGGTCACCACTGTCTGGCAGTGCAGCTCTCGCTCCCGGTGGTTCATGGGGCGGCAGCGCACCACCACCTTCACCGACTCCGAGGCCATGACGCCGCGGCCGGGACCCCGTGCGCCCCGGCAGCCGACCACCCGGCGGGTAACCTCCGGCCGCCAGGGCCAAGGGACGCGGCCAGCGCCTGCAGAGGGGGCGGGGCCTCGCGGCGGGGGCGGGGCCGCGGCAGGGGATGGGACTCGTCCGGGGGGGCGCCCGGACGAGAGGAAGGGGGCCGGGTGGGAGTCGCAGGACCAGAACGGGAGCCGCCGCCGCCTCCCGCGCCCGGGCTCGCCCGTTCCTGAGACCCGGCCCGGGCGGGGAAGTGGGGGATCCGCGCTGCAAGCGCTGCCGCAGGACCCGAGCCCCGAAGCCTCCGCAGCCACCGGCTCGCACGCACGTCTCCGTGGCGTTCGCGGTTGCTAGGCAACGCCCGCGGCGTCACAGGAGGCAGCTGCCGCGAACGCCGCGTGTTCTCCGCCAGGCCTGAGGTTCACCAGCCCTCACTCGGGGCTGCCTGCGGGAAGCACCCGCGCGGGTTGGAAAGGGAGCTTTCTCATCCTTTATCTTCGCCGGTCCTCACAGGCCAGGTTCAGAGGAGTTAAGCAACTTGCCCCGCGTTGCTCAGATAAGATGGGAGCCCAGATTTGACTCTACCTTGGGGCTAGAGAGATTCAAAAGGGGAGGCTTCCTGCAGGGGTTAGAGACCCACTGAGAAAAGCGAGAAGGACTTTGCTGTCCTTTATCCACAGCCCTGTACTGACTCAGGGGAAGGCTGCCCAGGACCCACAGCCGTGGACAGGGCAAAGCTTCCTCTGATACCACCCTTGTGTCTGCTAAAACTCGAGATTTTACACAAACAAAAACTTTAGGAGTCTTTTGGCTGGAGCCTGGCACAGTGGTGCATGCTTACAGTCCCAGCAACATGGATTGCTGAGGTGGAGGGATCATTTGAACCCAGTTCTAGTCCACCTAGGGCAACATAGCAAGACTCCATCTCTTAAAAAAGAAAAAAAAGGTCTTTCAACTGGAGAGGTCATCTGGCTTATCCCCCTAGCACAAGCCCCCAAGCCAGAAGAGGGGCTCTAGCCTTCTCCTTGCACAAGAACACAGTATCAGCTATGTGCCAGGTCCTGCAACGGATGCTGGGAGACAGCCCTCCTGAAGCCCATAGCCTAGCAGCGGAGACAGACATTGGAAACAAAAATCCTACCAACAAAATCCCATAAATAAGGTTACAAACTGAGGAATCAGTTCCATGGAACATCTAAAAGGAGAACTTCACTCAGCCTAGGGGTGTGGGGGCAGGCATCCTGAGGCTGGCCAGAGCTGCAATATGATGGTGGAACAGCTAACAAGGTGAAGGGAGGGGAGAAGGTATACAATGAAAGCTGTGTGGGCTGTGCAAAGGTCCTGTGGCATATTGGAGGAGTAGGACTCACACATTTTTTCCTATAGGAAATATTCACTGACATTTACAGCAGAAGACGGAAGAACATGATTTGAGTAAATCTACCCAGCCGATCCTTCAGGACATGCTGAGCCTTTGAGGACAGGACCTCTGGTTCACTTGCCATGCAACTACAGCTGAAGGCATGTTTGGCAAAACAGAACAAAGCAGGCAAACTGCATAAAGACCTTGCCTTTCAAAGGAATGAAAACTCTGTACAAATCTGAAGAAATGCATTTTATTTGTTTCAAGTCCACACAGTAAGGAGAGCTGGGCAATGGAGGCGGTGCATTGAGACAAAGAAAAAACTGTGGTCTCTGATTAAGACATGAAGGAGCCTGCAAACATGGGCCAAAACCTCACCCTGTTTGTAACACATGATCAATAAATGCTGTCTGAAGGAATGTTAAAGTACTTGGGAAGGCTGGTCCCTTCAGTGTGGACGTTCCCTGGTACCTCTCCACACAGATAATTCATATAAAACCCTTCTGTCACAGAAGTGAGCCTTGGCCTGAGTCTGGGCCAATTACCATGTCTCCTTACATGCACACATCTGGCACTGTAACCCCAGCCACGGGATATCACTAAGCCCTTCTCTTTCCCAAGGGAATGAGGTTGGGGTCTCCCACTAGGGACTGGGGCTTTGCCCAAGAAAAGGACAGATTCTAGAGAGACATCTGTGCAATGGAGCTCCAGCTTCACTCCCAATCAGTATCTGACCAGTGCTGGGTTTCTAGTGAAAGGAGCCCTGAAGGACAGCCTTCTTCTATTCCCTGCAACAGGATATCTTAGTGACTTGTGAGAAAGTGAGAAAGTCCTGAGCCAAAATCCTGTTGCAGCTAGAAGATGGCAGCTGGGAACGCCAGGCCTGAGCCTCAGGGAGGCTTCTCATCCTGCAGGTCGGCCTCCCTTCTTTCTGCTGGGAAAGGACTACCCTCTTCCTTCCGGAGTCAGAAATCTCTTCCCTTTAAGGCACTGAATTGCTTCCCTCTCTCCCAGATGGGGGAGAAGGCAGCTCTCTGCCTCAGGAAGTTCTTCCAAAATAAACTTGTTCTGTAAATCTACTCGGTAGATTCCTATTTGTCTGTCAAGGTTTCTTACAAAGAGGAACACCTTTGTCAGTCACTGGCCTGATCAAACTAGAGACTAGAATAATTTCCACGGATCTCCCATGGCCCCAAGGCCAAGCCCCTCCAGCAGGGCCCACATCAGTTCTACCTTCGGATGGTTCTGCTCTGGCCCTATCCCCACTGGGGCTGGCCTGGTGAGATGAGGTGGCCCCTGACAGCAGTGGTCAGCACCATGTTTAGGCAGCTTCCCAAGGCAACCACCAAATGGCCTGCGGTCTGTGAGAGATTTGGGCAGGGCCCAGTCACCCACTAAGTCTGGGCTCCCTGTCACATGGCTAAAGGAAATGAAGTGGGGAGTGTCTTGGTGACTCTTATAGGGTGCAGGGGAGGGGTGAGCATTCCTCTGAGAAAGGAAGAATCACAGCGCTAGGATTTTGAGTACAGACAACCAGTCTTTCTGAGCAACACACTGAGACTCTTTGCCTTGTCTGCTGATCCGCATCCCTTTTTGCACACAAGTATCTGCCTGTACCTGGGCTTTGGGTGGCACAACTCTTTGTCCCTCCTGCCCTTTCTGTATCTTCCTAACCCCCCATCGCCTAGAGTTCAAGGTGAGATGCCTTCACCCTCAGATGCATGGGAGAAACAGGGTGTGCTCTGTCTGCCAGGATGTGACTCAGCCCCAGGCTCCCTGCCCACAAGCTGCACAGAGTTGCCTTTGCTCTCTCACGGACAGGGTGGCTCACCCACAGGTCTTTGCCCAAAGTGGGAACTCACTCCTGCCTCCCCAAGCCCTTTTCTCTCACTTGTCAGGTTTCCTCTGTCAGGAGCTCCCTGGAGACTCCCAGTTAGGGCCACAGGCCTGGCCTCCTCAGGAGAGGGCTGCACCTTCATCATGACAAGCTCCCACCCTAGGAGTAAGATGGCCTAGAAATGACAAGCATCTACAGTCACCCAGCAAGTAATTGGAAGCCTGCTCCTCCTGGAATCTCAGGGGGCCACATGCTCTGTGAGAAGCCACTGGTGATCCCCAAGCTCAGGGCTCCCCTCCCACAGGCAGTGAAGCGATGGAAGACTGATCCAAGGGGCAGGGCAACTGGATGGCACTGGTGACCAGTAGGGTGTGAGAAGGGCAGAGGCTGTTGAGGCCAGGGCCGGGACAGGTCAGGGCCCATGGGAGTGGGCCCTGGCCTCTTAGCCCAGGCCCTGAAGTTCTGCCTCAGACTTGGCATGGCCGAGGGGCCGGAGAGTCCGGGGTGGCCTGCCCTCGGGCCCACAGTCCTGCTCCTCATAGGTGGGGTTCAAGCGGCCCATATCCAGGGGGCAGAAGAGGCTGCGTTCAGTCACAGCGTGGTTCTCCACCAGGGCCTCCAGGCTGGGGAACTCTGCTGGCAGGTGCTAGGTGAGGAAAGAGCTTCAGCTCCAGCCCTTCTCTATAGCTCATGCCAGGCACCAGCCAACCCCTCCCATAGGAGACTGCCATTTTAGAGTGGGACACAGAGCTCAGAGCAGTCACATGTGCTGTCATGACACATGTCTCCGCTTCCCTCCCTCCCCAGCCTGGGCAGGACTGAGACATTCAGCTTGGAAGTAAGGGCACACACGAGAAAAGCCCTGCCACTTCCAGTCTCTGGAAACCCCAGGGCAGAACAAAATTCCAGAACAAAGACTCAGAGAAGGAAAAAACAAAACAAAACAAGACTCAGAGGCTGTGTGAGCTTAGACAAGCCCCTGGCCTCTCTGAGTCAGCTTCCTCCGCTGCTAAAATGGGCAAGGGTGTAAGAGAACAGGACTTAAATGCCAGGATTCCCATAGGAATGTGAGACTTGACTCTGGCCCAAGACTCATTAGCTGTATCTTCTGAAATGCCCTTCTGGTGAGGGTCCTTTAGGGACCAGGCGCCTCCTCGGTCCTCTGAGTCTTCGGGTTAGGGCGGAGCCAGCAGGGCAGAGGCGGGGCCGAGTGGGCCAGCAGGGCCAATTAGGGCAATGGAGGAGGGATGAATTGGCTAGGGGCGGGGTCAGAGGGAACCAATGGGAGGGCGGGATGGGGGCAACGCAGGCGTCTATCTTCAGTGGTGAGAAAAGGGCGGGGTATCAAGGGCACCAGGTGGAGCCAGCGACAAGGGCGGAGCCAGGGCCAGCCCTGTGGCACACTCACCTCCATGCAGTAGCGGCCCAGGTGGTTCCGGAAGACCTGGTGGGGTACCACGCCACATTGTGTGCGCACTGAAAGGCACCACTGGCCACTGGTGCCCTCTGGCCACAGCAGGAAGGCCCCGAGCGCGTCTCTCCGCAGCAGGGTGAGGGCACAGGGCCTGGGGGCACAAAGCGGGTGGCTGAAGGCAGCACCCCTAGTTAGAGCCCAGCCTCAGGTTCCTCCCTGAGTAATGGGAGTAACGGGCACCCAGGCACCCCGAGGATTAAATGCCCTTAAAACCACAGTGTTCTCCAGGTGCCATGGCTCATGCCTGTAATCCCAACCATTTGGCCCAGCAGGCTGTAATCACTTGATCCCAGGAGTTCGAGGCTGCTTTGAGCTCCGAGGTGTCACTGCACTCCAGCCTGGGAGACAGCAAGATTCTGTCTCTAAACAAACAAAAAAGGCCACTCACGTCTGTAATCCTAGCACTCTGGGAGGCCGAGGTGCCAGGATCCCTGAGCTCAGGAGTTTAAGACCAGCCTGAGTTAGAGCAAGACCCTGTCTCTATTAAAAATAGAAGAAAAAAAATTAGGCATTGTGGTGAGCACCTGTAGTCTCAGCTACTTGGGAGGCTGAGGCAGGAGGATCACTTGAACCCAAGAACTTGAGGTTGCTGTGAGCTATGATGCCACTGCCCTCTAGCCCAGGCAACAAAGCAAGACTGTCTCAAAAATCAAGCAAGAAACAAACCCACAGAGTCCCCCATAATTGTTCACAACTTCAAGGCCCCCCCAGGAGAGAAGTTTAAAGAGCTGTAGGACTTGTAGGGAGATACCACCCTGCTACAGGCCAGGGGCTGAGAGCTCTGCCTGAATTACCTCATTTGATCCTCTCAAAACCTTGCCACAAAGGTCCTTTGATTCCCTATTTTACATATGAGAAAACTGAGGGCCAGGGAGGTGGAGTCCTGGGATTGAGATGCAAAGGTTGGGAGTGCTCTGCCCATGCACTGGAGTGTGCCCCTCAGGGCCCTGAGGAAACCCACAGCCCATTTCTCTGCCCACCCCAAGGGGCTGGATTCAGGCCAGTCCCTCCTACCTGGAGATGCCAGCAAAGGCCCAGACGTTTTCTGTCAGGCTGCCATCACTCTCCACTAGGCACGAGGGGCCACCAGGACCCCGGGGCCATGCTTCCCACGAAGCAGGAACTATGGAGACCACCGACGGGTCAGAGGGGCCAAACCCTTCCATGCCCAGCCTTCCCTATGGTCACAGGCTCCAGCAGCCCCAAGTTTGTCTCCTCACCAAGCTTCTAGCCCTGCCCAACAGGCACTCACACCCATGGGCCTCCCACTCACCAGTTACAGCCATACACAGCTGTATCTGCAGCCACCTGTGCACACCCTTGGGCACACAGACCCAATGCACACACACACAGGCATCCATGCAGAGGCACAGCCACAGCCTCATAGGAATGTACACTCAGCCCATCCTCTCTGACTGGCACAGGAGCACACAGGCACATGCCCCAGTGCATGTGCAGCAGGCATGCTCCTACAACTCACAGGCCTCCCGAGCCGACAGCTGCAGCTGAGTCTCGTAGGTACAGCCCCGGTAGGCCCCCGAGCGGATCACTTTGCTCCGAATGGCCTTCTTGCGCACCAGCGTGGGTGAGCAGTAGGGATTCCCCAGGCGGGCAAGGCGGGCACCCCCACGGCCTTCTGACTCTAGTAGCTCCTTCTAAGGCACCAAGAGGAATCCTCAGTCAGGCAGACTCGGGCCCAGCCATGTCAGTCCAGGTGATGCCCCCTGGAGCCCATCCTCCCAGTGTGACGCCCCAAGGCCACATTCTTGTCCACTGCCCACTCCCTGGCTGGGGTGCTGCATACCCCACTGCCTACTGGCCCCTCTGCTGGCAGCCGCCTTAAGGAGACCAGTGCATGGACATTTTGCGAGAGCTGATCACGGCTGAAGGGCTCCCGCACCAGGCCACAGGGGCCTCCAGGGCTGGACAGTGGCTTCTGGGGCATGTCCCCTGAAGGCCCAGGGCAGGCCTCAGGCTGTGCCCTCTCCTCAGGGTGCTGCAAGAGGTAAGCAAGCTGGAAGGAACGGCAGAGTAGCAAGTGCAGGATGTGGACCTGGGGGGAGAAGTGGGCTCAGCTGGAGGAGCTCTTCCAGGGAGCCCCACAGGCACTAGCACCCCCAACCCATCACCATGGACGCATGCAACCCCTTGGCTTCAAATACTCTTCCTCACTCTTCCTGGGAAAACTACTTATCCCTCAAAAGTAGCCTCCCCCGCCAGCTTCCTTACTGAGCACCTACCTTGTGCCAGGCATCCTGCTTGGAGCAGAAAATCTAACCACTGGGTATATGCACTCCCACCCCGTGCATAGTCAGTCAGTGCCTCTTAGAGGAATGGCTGAGAGCCCAGGCCCTGGAGTTAGAACCTGGGCTCCAATCCTGACTCCGTCACTTAGGAGCTGCTGTGTGATCTGGAGCAGAGCATGACACTCTCTGAGCCTTGTTTTCCTCATCCACACCTCCCTGTGAGGAGTTAGTGAAGCACAGAAAACTCCCACACAGGGATTAGCACCTTCTACCTGCAATCCACACCATCCACACCCAAACATGTTAGAAACTTGGGCTTCAGAAGATCCCAAGCCATGTCTCAGCCACCTGAAACCCCAGTGTCCAGTGCAGGGCTTGACACGCAGGGTGACAACAAATGCCCACTGGATGGAACCAAAACCAGCCTCTGCTTGCCAGATGTCTGGCTGCCATGGCTCTGCCATTCACAACAGTCAAACTGGTTTTGACTTCTCGATCTACCTGCCTACCCCCTCGCCCCCACCAAACCACAGACGACCAAGCACTGGCATATCTCAAGACCTGGACCCAGGCTCTGCGCTCACAGACCCCAAGCGTCTATAATTAGGGACAGACTGATGATAGAGTTTGGTTCATGTACTGGATCCTAGAGAGAGGGAATCCCGAGGAGTCAAGGTGGGGTTCACAGGCATGTGGCCTGAGCCTTGAAGGGCAAGTCAGAATCTGCCAAGACGAGAAGGGGAGGGGCATTGCAGAGGCCAGGCAGGGTGACCCCCCCAGTCTCTAAGTGCAGGGCCAGGTTCCTGCCTCTCGGCACCAGGGAACCATTGAGGCCACTGACTTGCTTTGTAGAGTGGACAGAGCAGCAGAAAGGGCCAGTGTGGCCGGTGGCACATGCCTGGAGGGGGCTTGGGCTGCCTTGGCTCAACCCTTCCTCAAAGGCCTGTGTCTCCAGAACTTGTCCTGATGTCCAGTACACCCCCACCCAGCCTCGGTTGTGGCCACCCTGCCTTGGGCCCTAGACACCTCTCCAGGCTGGCTGCTCACAAACAGGTGGCAGAAGAGCTTGCTGGGTGGGCTCCGCGGGTTTCGGGCGATGAAGGCAAACTGGCAGTCGGCAGGGCACCAGGTGGAGTAGAGCATGCGCCTCAGGGCATGTGCCATCAGGAGCACCTGGGGGCAGCAGCAGCCCTCAGACCAGCACCTGGCTGGCAGAGTCTGGCCCCACACCTGCTCTCCAGCCTGCACACCCAGCTCAGGGCCACCCTGCTCCTAGGGGAGGAACTCCTCCATTCCTCCAGAGCTGCCCGGTCCCCAACCCTCATACTGCATGTGACCCCGGCTCAGGATCATACCGCAAAGCTAGGGAACAAAGGGCAGAGTGGGCACATTCTGCTGGGGTCCCCAAGAAAGGCAGTGGCAGGCACTAGGATTACATGCCAGGTCTTGAGTCAGGTGACTGGGCTTTGAATCCTGGCTCTATCACTTATTCTCCATGTGTCTTGGGCAGGTAAGTACAGTCCTCTGACCCTTTGTTGTGACATGTGCCAAGTGGGGACAATACCCATGTCTTTCTGATGAGGCTGTTGGTGGGAGTCAGTGGGACCTCAACCAAGTGGTGCAAACCTGACCCCAAGGCCTTTCAATGCCCAGCTTTGAGATACTGTGTGCACTGCAGTCTTAGGTGAGTGACACCCACAGTGGTGGGGTGCAGGCACCCAGTTAGCATGCACCCACAGCTGGCTTGCATAAGAGGAGCATGGATGAGGGGCAGGGTGGCCAGGGAGGGGCTCTTAACCTGCCTCCAGTCCAAGTCTGGCCCCTGCTACTGCTGTGAGAGGCTGTCCAGAGCCCTCCAGCTGAGGCTGGGCAGGGCACCTTCCAAAACCTCACATGGCTGCAAGTTTCTGATGCTCAGGCTAGGAGCTGATTTTGGAAGGCCCGAGAGTAAGAAACTGTTGCCTGCCCTGGGAGAAGGGTCCTTAGAGAGATAAAGTCCAAAGGTCCAGAGCAGGCGGTACTCCTGGGGGCCCAAAAGGAAGCTCAGGGTGGGACTGGGGTGGAGATGAGCAGGGCCTAAGGGAGAAGCCACTTGGCCCTGCTCAGTCCTCACCTGCACCCACATGGGCTCCTACCTCACCCTCCCCGCTGTAGATCTTGATTCCCTGAAGGCTGAATTTCAGGATGACAGCCCGGCGACGTGGACAGTCCTAGGGGGAAGAGAGTTGGTGGGCACAGGTACCACCCAAGCTTTGTCCTGGCCTTCCCAGCCTCAGTATCATCCACTAAGGCAGCGGTTTTCAACTTGTGGGTTGTGACCCACAGGAACTGTATGAAAGGGTCACTGCACTAAGGGCTGGTAGGGAGGAAGACTCAGGCTCAGGGACTAAGCCCTGGATAGTGACGCCTTCAGGAGTCGGGGAAGTACAGATGGCTCCTGGCAGAACATTCCCTAGCCAGGGCCGTCGAGGGCCATGTGATGACCATCTCCTGAATCTCCCATCTGTGCTTCCAACTGTGGGATACAGGTCATGGACAGCTCAGAGGAAGTGAGTCCCTAGCATGAGAGACAGTGCTTCAGGAGCCAGAGTTTGTGTTCTGACTGGGCTTACTCCTCAGAGGGCCTTTGGTCCTGTCCCTCCCTAGCCCCATCTCTGTAACTGGGGCAAGGGGTGGATCAGGTCTGGTGGGGTCATTCCAAGGCTAGGGTCTCTCCCAGGGAAGTGCCCTCCCAGCCCCTGGCCCACCCACCTTCAGTGCCCACAGCTGCTGCTGCACCAGCCACACGCTCTCCTGTGTGTCCAGGTCATCCACAGGGAAAGAGCCCACATACTGTTCGGCACGGAGTGGGAGGAAGGACAGGGAGTCAGGACCCCAGACACAGTCTGCTGGGCCGCCAGGCCCCAGTCCAGGCTCTGTGGGGCTTTCCCAGCAGAAGTGCCCTCCCTCCTGCACACACACAGTCCCACACATGGGCCAGGGAAGAAAGACCTGGAAATAGGTCTTTGTCCCCCAGCTCCTCCCCACTCCCAGGGCCTGCCACTCAAAGACCACTCCACCCACCTGGGCAAACTTGGTGATGCACCTGGGCCGAAGAGGGGTGGGTCCACAATCAGAGGCCCTCCGGCCTCCTGCCCCAGCCTTCTGCATGGCCCCCAGGGTGCCCAGCTTACAGGTCTGCCCCTGGGAAGGCTGCAAAGGGCAGAAGAAGGGCTGTGCTTCCTGTGTTCATCAGCTTATTCATTTACTTGACAGATCCTTCCTGAGCACCTGCTATGTGCCCAGACACGTCCTAGACAATGGAGACACAGCTCTCCCCTAAAATGATGACATCTCAGCTTGCCCGCATGGAGCCGACATTCTTGTTGAGGAGAGAGACATTAAACTGAATAATGAGAGAGATAATATGTTAGATGGTGACAAAGGGAAGCCAGTATGAAACGTCAGGCTGGGGGCTGATTAAAGCTGGAACGCTCTGCTCCTTGCAGATCATGAAGGTGAAGTTTGAGTCAAGATCTGAAGAGTGGCTGGTGGCTCATGCTTGTGATCCCAGTACTTTCTAGAACAGTGGTTCTCAACAGTTCCTGTGGGTTGCGACCCACAGGTTGAGAGCTGCTGTCCTAGGAGGAGAGGGAGGATCAGAGGATAATTTAAGGCAGGAGTTTGAGATCAGCCTGAGCAACACAGCAAGACACCCCCCCACCCCCATCTCTACAAATTATTAAAAACAAATACTATGTGGGTGTGGTGGTGCCTGTAGCCCGGCTACTTGGGAGGCTGAGGCAGGAGGATGGCCTGAGTCCAGGCATTTGAGGCTACAGTGAGCTATGATCGTGCCACTGCACTCCAGCCTGGGTTACAGAGTGAGAACTTGTCTCTCAAAAAAAAAAAAAAGAAAAGAAAAGAGAAAGAAAAAAAGAAAAATCTTAAGGGCAGTGGTTCATGCCCTTATTCACTCAGTAAATATTGAGGACCATAGTACTAAATCCCTGGCCTGAGGGGTGGAAGTCAGTCAGGGCACAGATTTGTAACCAGTTTGTACAAAGTACCCAAGGGAAGGGAGGGTGGCCTGGGAAGGCACCACAAAAGAGGCGGGTAGTGACAGTGGTGAGAACAGAGGGAAGCAGCTGCAGGGACCCTCAGCAAGACCTCGCCAGAACATCAACCCAGATCCAGTTTGGGATCAGACTTAAATGCCAGACTAGGGAATTTAGGCTCTGCCCTGTGGATAGTGGGGAGCCATGACAGGTGGCTAAAAGCTGATGGCCAGAACTGATGGACCAGGTGGCGGGGAAGCCTCTGGCTCATTCAGCCCAGCCAGACTCCAGTTCCTCCACAAAGACCCCAGCTCCTTGCAGATCATGAAAACCAGAACTCAACCACACAGTGCACAGTGCTAAGTTGGGATGTGGAAAAGGTAGACAACTGCCCTTGGGAAGTGGCTGAGAAACACTGCCCATGTCCCCCCAGCCTAGCTGGGTTCTGGTCTTCCTGGAACCCTTCTCCCAGATCCACTAGTAGAGGAGTGGGATGGGGGAAGGTCTTTCAAGATTGTCCTTATTACCCATGAGAATCCAGGACCACAAGAAGAATGGCTGATGGCCTCTCCTGAGGTCCCCAAGTACTCAGCTTACTCAGCCTTTCTGGGGCCTATTAGAAACTTGCCTCATCCCTCACCCTGGCCACCCCTCTCACCAGCCTACTTAGAATCACTAACATGGGATCACAGTCCTTGGTTCAAATCCTGTGTGACTCTGAGCAAGCTGCTCAAACTCTCTGAGCCACTGCTGAGTCTACAAACCCAGGGTAATGTGAGCAGTTTGGATGGAGCAGAGGAGCCTATGCTGGCTGGAGTATGAGGGACCCCAAAGTCCAGAGGTGAACAAGGTCAGACCACCTTCACCTTCTCACTGCCCCAGGCCACATCCATAGGAGAACATCTAGTCTTGAAGGACAAGGTAGCGGGAAGCCAGGAGAGAGCAAGTATCAGACAGGCGGGGGCAGGAAGGGATGAGTGCCTGGCGTGCTTCACCTGGCCACCATTAATGGAGCCTTTGGAGAAGGAGGGATGGGACACTCTCATCACCAAGAGCCCCTATCTCTGCCTTACCCAGGGTAAGGCCAGGGGTGGAGGGTCAGCAGTGACCTACTTTCAATGAGCAGCCAGTAACACACAGACAAGCTAGAAAATAAAGGCTGCCCCATCCACCACGGGCTTCCTGGCTTCTGTATCTCAAACTATCTGGCCTCCTGCTGTCCTGAGCCAGCACCTTCTACTTTTTGGTCCCAGTAATTTTTCACATCGTATCCTTTACCTATTGTACCTTTTCTGTTGAAATAAAGCAAAGTTAGATGTGCAACCAGCACTAAAACCACGTGACACCTGGCTCAAGTACGGAGATGGGGTTCCAGTGAAGCCGCCTTTGATGGCTGGCGGTGGGGAGTGAGGAGGCAGAGACCAAAACCAAAGAGGGGATGACAGGGAGAGAGGGAAATAACTGAGCAAAGAGCCCAACAGAGGCACAGGCAGAGCAGGGAGGGGAGAGAAGACAAAAGTAAGACAGATAGGCTCGGCGCCCTTACTCAGTGGTTAGGGCACCAGCCACAGACGTGAGGAATGGAAGGTTCGAACTCAGCCCGGCCATGTTAAACAACAATGACAACTACAACAAAAAAATAGCCGGGTGTTGTGGCAGGCGCCTATAGTCCCAAGCTACTTGGAAGCTGAGGCAAGAGAATTGCTTAAGCCCAAGAGTTAGAGGTTGCTGTGAGCTGTGACGCCAGGGCAGCACTCTACCTAGGGCGACATGGTGAAACTCTGTTTAAAAAAAAAAAAAAAGGTAGATAAAGGAGAGTCGGGAGGAGGGAAAGGACGGCACAGTTCCCATCCTCGGGCACTGACAGTGTGAGACGGAGAGAAGTGCATGCGATCACACTTGCACACTCACTCAAGCACACGCATGCGCACACATATGCACACGCACCTGCAGCTGTATCTAAGGCAGCCTCCTCCCTCCCAGATCTCTAGCATCCTGGCTGGGGGAGGGCTGGGTGGCCAGCCTTCTCCCCCTATTACCTGATCTTTCCCCCTGGTCCTTAGTCTCCCTGGAAACCGGAAGTTTCTTCCTTTTTCCTCCTCCCTCCCAAGCCTGAGTTCACAGGCACGTCAGCCCAGCTCTTCAGTGGGGTGGAGGGATTCCCTGGGAGGGCACCAGGCTCACTCTAACCCTAGAAACAGACCTGCTTTCCCATTCCAGGCACAAACGCCTGCCTATTCTGGACCAGACCTTGTTTTCTGAAGTTTTGCTGGGGAAGCACCTTCCTAAAGGAACACGTTCCAAATGAGGCTAGGCTCTCTACTTGCTCCTCTGAGATTTTGCAGGTGCCCCCTCACCCTCAACCCCCACTCCCAGACAGAGGACTGGATAAGCTGACCTGCCTGGTGAGGGCCCCCTGCTGCACTGCACCTTAGCAGAGTGGTGTCACTAGAAGGTCCATCTCCTCATCCTGCAGATCCTGGTGGATCAGGGAGGTGAAATCACCCAAGATCCCACAGCATGAATGAGAGATCTGGGAAGGAAACCCCATGCCCTTCTGCTCAGACTCCCCTCCCCCACATATGCAGCTTGTCCACTGTGAGTCTTTGGTGGGCCCCAAACAGGTGAGGAGAGGAAGCTACCAGCTGGGGAACACCTCAGGTCTTACCAGCTGCCTCCCCTGTCAGGTGGCCTTTGGGGCTCCCACTGGCCAACACACCTCCACCTGCCCTAGCCCACGGGCTCAGAGAGACAGCAGAGACCCCGCAGTCAGGGGTCAAGAACACAGAACTGTGGGGACCAACAAGGTTGGCTGATAAGACCTTGGGCAAGTCCCTTTACTTCTGGCCACCGTTCCTCTGCTGTGAAGCGGTTGGTGATGGTTACAGTAGCCACCTTCTGGGTTGTTCATTGCTCTTCTCCTCCTTTGCCTACTTCCGAGCCCCTGTTGTCTACCAGGCACTGCTGCTAGTGGACAAAAGTCCCAGCCCTCTAGGAGCACCCAACCTGGGGCCGGGGGACGGCTTGAGGGGCGGTAAAGGATTTGCAGAAGGACACAGCAGGGTGAAGCGAATATGAGATGCGTGTACGCGTTCCGGGGTGCGATTTGATACAGTGTGGTCGAGGACAGACTATCGGAACAGACGACATTTGAGAGGAAAGTGATGTTTTCAGAATCAAGTGGGGCCAGCGCCGGGGGTGTCAAGAGCTCCACCAAGCAGGAGAGGAACCCACCGCGTCGCTGTCATTCCCGGGGGGCACCTCCAGGGCTTTGGGACAGCCCTCGCCTGGGGCAGAGGGCGCCGTGGGAAGGCACGAAAGAGGCGATGGCGTAGGTGACCGCAGAAGAGGGTGACGGCGCGGAGTGACAGGGTGCTCCTCACTGCCTGCACCTGAGCGCCCCTCAACCGAGCCCTCGCCCCTGCCCGGCTCCCCGCCGCTCACTCACCGCAGCCGCGGCGCCTCCAGTCGGGTATCTGCAGCTCCGGCCCGCGACCCCGCGCAGCCCCACGGCTTTCAGCCCTCCCACCTCGGCGCCCCAGCCTCTCGGCCGGGGACCGCCCCCCGCTCCCTGTCGCCCCCACCCGGCACGGTCCCCACGTGGCCAACGAAACCGACCCCTATCACCTGGCGCCGGCGACCCGCCTTGCTCACCAATCGGCGCCCCCGGAGCCGCAGCGCTCTGCCGCACCACCCAATCAGAGGCCGCGAGTGGCTCTGGCACCGCCCACGCCAGCCCGCGCTCGGACACTCCGCCTTAAAGGGCGACGGGCTGTGCGGGCCCGTCACGCAAAGGGCGCCTCTTGCTGGGCTGGGGACCCTGGCTCTGCTGGGTTCCCTGAGTCTCTGAGTTCCTCCTTCCGGAGAGCCTCTGCCCCTCCCGCTCCCCGGCTAGCTCCTCCTAGTCATCCAAGCCGCTTCGCCTCCTCCGAGAAGCCCTCCAGGACCACCAGTCGCTCTTCCCTCCTCTCTGCCGACTCCTTGTGACTATCTGCTTACTTGGTATCCCTCTCGTCTAGTCGAGACCGAGAGGCCCTGGACCAGAGGGTCTCCATTTCCCGCGCGCGAGACGGAGCTGGACTCGTAGTAGGCATTCAGCGATAGTTTTATGAC